AGCCCCTAGACGGATGCAGCCGGCAGGCATCAAAGACCAACCCACACCCCGTCTTCTCAAACGGGCACCAAAGCAGGGAAAGGGCAGCTTTCCAGTCACTGGTGCCGGGACAACGGAGCCGACGGATGAGGAGGGAATGAGCCTCAGCCCTAACTCACATCACACAAACTAAGAGTCCGGGCCATCTAAATGTCAGCACTAGAGTGAGGCTTCTGTAAGAAAACGGAATAAATCATCACAGCCTTGGGGTAGGCAAATGTTTCTTTACAAGAACATGAGAAGCACTAATATAAAAGAAAAAGTTGATAAACTGGATTTCATAAATATCAAAATTTTCTGTTCTTCAAAAGATACCAATGAGAAAAATAAAAATTAGCCACTGACTGAAAGAAGATATTCAAAATACACATATCTGATGAAAAGATGCATGTGGGCTATTTTTTTATTCTTAAAACTCAATAATATTTTCAAAGCATGGTTTAAGAAACATTAACAAAACGGGGGGTCCTCGGTGGCTCAGGTCATGATCCCATGGTTGTGGGATCAAGCCCCGTGTCAGGCTCTGCACCGACAGCTTGGAGCCTGCTGGGGATTCTCCCTCTCTCTACCCCTTCCCTGCTTGTTCATGCTCTCTCTCTCTGTCTCTGTCTCTGTCTCTCTCTCTCTCTCTCTCTCTCACACACACACACACACACACACACGAACAAAATCTTTGAACACACACTTCGCATAGGAAGATATACAAATGACCGCAAGCACGTTAAAAACGTGCCCAACATCACCAGTCACCAGGGAAAGGCAAATCAAGTGAGCTGGCACATGCAACACAGGAAAATGTTAAGTTTGAAAAGGCTGGAAATACATGGTGCTGTCACACAGCACTGAGACATCACTGGCGGGATGAAACGGCACAGCCACTTGGGAAGACAGTTTGGTGGGTTCTGATAAAGTCAAACAAACATTGACTTGTGGGCCAGCAAGTCTCCTACGTGTCTACCCAAGAGAAAGGAGTCTCACCACCGTTAGCGAAGCCTGGGGCAGGGGAGCTCCCCCTGCTGGTCGCATGGGGTGGAGTCAGTCTGTCCTTCAACTTGTGCCCGCGGGTTCATGGCAGATTTACTTGTTGCTGCCAAAAACTGTAAACAACATGAATGTTCATTGTGAGGCTACCAGATAAACAAATTCTGGTGTATTTGGTTTTTTTTTTTAAGTTTATTTATTTATTTTGAGAGAGAGAGAGAAATGTGGGAGGGGCAGTGAGAGGGAAAGAGAATCCCAAGCAGGCTCCACACTGTCAGCACAGAGCCCAGTGTGGGGCTCGATCCCACGGATTGTGAGAGCATAACCTGAGCCAAAGTTGGTTGCTCAACCGAGCCCACAGGCACCCCCACAAATTCTGGTGTATTTGTATAATGAAATGCTACCCAGGAAACCACAGCGTGGCAAGCATGCTCACCAGGGCACGAAGGAAACCCAAGTACGATCCGCTGAGTGAGAGCGATCAGGCCCAAAAGAGCATGCATTTATTTATAATTTATTTTTAATGTTTTATTTATTTTTGAGAGAGAGACAGAGCACGAGCAGGAGAGGGGCAGAGAGAGAGGAAGACACAGAATCCGAAGCAGGCTGCAGGCTCTGAGCTGTCGGCACAGAACTGCGAGATCATGACCTGAGCTGAAGTCAACCGCTTAACCGACTGAGCCACCCAGGCACCCCTATTTTATAACTTTTTAAAATGTTTATTATTTTTGAGACAGAGAAAGCATGAGTGGGGAAGCAACAGAGAGAGAGAGAGACCCAGAATCCAAAGCAGGCTCCAGACTCCAAGCTGTCAGCACAGAGCCTGACACAGGGCTGGAACTCACCATCAGATCACGACCTGAGCCAAAGTCAGACACTTAACTGACTGAGCCACCCAGGCGCCCCTGTGGACACGTTTTAAAGCCACCACGCAGAAGAGAGCTGAGTTATCCACACGTAGGAAAACAGCAAGGAAAAAAAAAAAGCAGAGCCAGCCTGGCAGAAAGCACAAGTCAAAACGACCTCAGCCTCAGCTGAAGCTACTTGGTACTTATCAGGAATGCACCAAAACACAAAAATGAAATATGAAAATAGAAAAGGAGGGACGCCAGGAGGCTCAGTCAGTTGAGCATCTAACTTCAGCTCAGGTCACAATCTCATGGTTCACGAATTAGAGCCCCATGTCGGGCTCTGTGCTGACAGCTCAGAGCCTGGAGCTGCTTCGGATTCTGTCTCCCTCTCTTTGCCCTCCCCCCCCCAAATAAAATAAAAACATTAAAAATAATAAAAAAGGAAAAGATACTCCATGCCTCTCCCAAACAAAAATAAATAAATGCTAACATAGCGATATCGATTCCAGACAACCTAAAATTTAGGGCAAAGATAAGAACACCCCCAAACTAGAAACAGGAAGGCACATTCATTGCTTAACGGAAGAGGGAATCCTCCACAAGGGGTGTTTCTCAAGCTTTTTGGCTCGGATCTGCAACCAGAGTTTCCAAAGGGCTGCTTTTACCACGTGTGCTGCGAGCTCCGTGGCCCTTGTACCTCGCACACTGCAAGGAATGGGCATGGCCCCTTAGTGGGTGTCCCCGGGGTAGGCTCCCACTCGCAGCTCCACAATGCAGGGCTGCCCTTCTGCGCTTGCGGGCCGCTGCAGAGCCCCCCCCGCCACGCCTCTCCAGCAAGGATGAGGAGCAGCCCTGGGCACTAGGGGCTGAGGGGCCCAGGGGCCGGGCTCCTCCTGAGAGGAGTGGGGAGCCTTCAAAGCATCTGCAGTGGGAGGCCTGGTGGTCAAGGGACCCCTAGAAAGGGCTGTGGAGGGCACGGGACCCAGGACACAAACAGACCCCTCCCCCGGACACCTGCGGAAGACGCCCTGGCCCTGGGGGGCCCCCACGGCGCTCCCTCTCCCCGCCAGCCTCCCCTAACCAGGGCCAGGGCGCTCAGCCCGCACCCTGGCGCTACCCTGTCTGCCTCGGCGCGGCGGCCCTGCCTTCTCACCTTGGGAACCCGGCTCGTGCAGGACCCTGAGGCCTGTACTCGCGGGCTGTCTCAGCAGGTGGCCAACCCACCACTCGAGGGCATCATCAAGCCTCTCGGCCTCCAGAAAACCGCACAGGGAGGGCGGGGGCGATGGGGAGGGCCCCCAGACCACACTCTCAGGAGTGGGTGGCAGGCCGTGGTGTGTGCGCCCTCTGCAGTGGGCACACACCTATACGAACTTGCACACACCACCTTTCATCTTACGAGTCGGACACAAATTACGAAAAATGTTTTTACTTTAAATCAAAGTACCAAGCAGATACTTGCAAAACAACGTACAAAGTAGAACCCGGATGCTTCCCTGCCCCAGAGGGCACCGCCCCTGCCCCTCAGACACAGCCCGCGGTTCTGCCCCAGGGGACTGGAAGGGGAGCCGGCGCCCCCAGGGGACTGGAAGGGGAGCCAGCGCCCCCAGGGGTGGAGGGGCCTCCCAGGCACAGGTGCTGGGCAGGGAGAGGGGCTGCGGTCATTTCTGAAGCTCTGGCGCCAACTTCCCTCCAGCGCCTGTGGTCTGAGGGCAGGGCAGCAGCTTCAGAGGGGCGGGCGCTCCTGACTTTGACAAAGGCTCCAAGGGCGAGACGTGGTTTTTCCTACGTGGTCTGAGCTGGTGCAGACAGGCAGAACTGGCTGGGCCGTGCCCATGCCCATTGGGCCCCGATGCCGAAGGCGTCAGGACTCAGCGGCGAGGAGTGTGGACCCCATCTGACCCGTGACAACAACAAACCCATTTGCAACAGAAAGGAAACAGAGAAAGACCACCTCAGTGGCTTGACTTGGGGGCCGAGAGCCGCTCAGGTGGTTCTGGGGCACCTGACAGATGGAAGGACGGACAAATAACCCAGTTCCCTTCAAAGCACAAAGTGGGGGCAGCGGCTGGTCTCTGGAGCCCCCTCCCCTTCCCCTAGAGAAGATCTTCAGCAGGAACATAACTGGAGGTGGGGGGGGGGGCCCGGGAACCAGGCCTGCAGGGGACCCCTGCCTGGTCTTCTGGGTCCCAAATAACACCTGCAGACAGCCCTCGATGGCCCTGCCAGAGGACATCCTGGGCCCCCCACATGCCCTCAGGCACCAGTGTCAGACAGTGGGGGTGGGGGGGAGCTGGGGGAGTCCCGGGGCCAAGCTGTCATAGTGGCCCCACCAGCAGACTGGGCACAGGGGTCGATACCCAGCCCCCACAAATCTTTCTCCGCTCCTGACTTCTGCTTGCACCCCGTGCCCCCCCACCCCGGGACCAAAGCCCCAGGGGCACAGCCACCCTCACACTCCCCTGGGGGGCCTGCCGGTTCTGGGAGCTCACGGCAGGGACCCCCGTACAGTCACCTGCGGGCCGTTCCTACAGTCCTGTACAAAACACCCTGGAACCCAGAGCAAATTCGGGAAGCCTAGGCACTCAGCATTGTTTAGCGTGAAAATGCTATAAATCTGACTCTTCCAAGAAGCCTACTAAACAATCCACTTAAAAACACCCACAGTGTGTGTGCAACGCCCACAGTGCGTGTGTGACGGCCCCTGGGGGCCCTGCCGGGTGGAGGGAGATGGGGGTGCTGCCCCGTTCTCACCCCTGGGCAGATGCAAGCTCAAGCTGCCAGGGCCTGGGGTCTGCACTCCAACCCCCAGGTGCTCGGGAGCCCCAGACCGGGGCCACACGCAGAGCCGCGGCAGCGCCCACACAGTCCCGGAGACAGGGGAGCAGGGCGCCGGGCCACACTAACCCTACAGAAAACTGTGGGAAGAAACCAAATCCATAGGATCCATGGGTTTCCACACTTGGGGACGGTTCCCAAGACATGTGTTAGTGACACCCCCTCCCCCAGCCGGCTCCGGCCCACCCAGGGGCCCCTCGCACCCACGGGGTCTGCACCCCGCTCCCCGGCTCTGCCTCCTCGTCCTCTCTGTCCGGCTCCTCATCAGGCCCGACGTGTAAACAGTATCAGTTAAGCAACAGATGGAAAAATGTATTTCCCAGGAAAGAAGGGGAGGAGGCTCCGAGTGGAGGGCTGGCTGCACAGGTCTGTTTTCAATCCCTTTTTCTCGTCGTGTTTTGGTGTTTCCTCTCTTTGGTTCAGCCCGACGTGGCCCGTGGGGCGCCGGCACCGTGCTCCCGCCCACGCGGCCCGAGGAGAGGAGGCCAGCCCTGTGCCCACGACGGGCCTGTCCTCCACCAACGTCTACTTGTGCTCCCGGCCTTCCGCCATGGCGGCCACCTCAATGGTGGCCGTGTGCTCCTCAGGGCCCGAGGCAGCCACGGCGCTCTCGACGGCTCCCGTGGGCACTGTCACAATGGTGCTGCCCCCGGGCGACATCTGGGCCACGTTCTGCAGGGTGGGGCCCAGGCCGGGCAGGGTGAGCAGCTGCAGGGGGCTCACCACCTTGACCACAGTGCTGCCGTCCTGCATGGCGGCCGTGCTCAGGACCGTGAGGCTGGACGCGTCCGGGTGGATCTCCACTGTGCTGGGGAAGGTGGCGCCCGATGAAGCCAGCACCGTGTAGCCCCCGAGCAGCGGCGAGGCCGGGGAGCCGGCGGGAGCGGCCTGCGTGGGCCCCTTACCCAGGGCAGGGGAGGGGAGGGCAGACACCACTTTGCCGAGCGGCACGCCGGTCAGCTGGGAGACGGGCATGCCGGGGCTGAGGGCGATCTGGGCAGACTGGGTGAGCACCTGCGAGGCGATGGCAGCTGGTCCAGACGTGGCCCTCGCGAGCCGTGGCCGCTTCGCGGGGGGCGGCAGGGAGACGGGCGTGAGTGTCATGAGCACGTTGCTGAGGTGCTGAGATTTGTGCTTCAGTTCCTTGGCTCGGCGTCGGTGCTCATCGCACTGCTGTTCCAGGGCTGCCAGAGGACAGGGACAGAGCGTTACCACGAGGGTGGGGGGGCAGGAGTGTCACCGCGGGGACACGGCACACAGAACATCCCTCAGCTGGGGCACCTGGGAGGCTCAGTCGGTTGAGCGTCTGACTTCAGCTCAAGTCATGATCTCATGGTTCGTGGGTTCGAGCCCCGCGTCGGGCCCTGTGCTGCTTAGAGCCTGGAGCCTGTTTCGGATTCTTTGTCTCCCTCTCTCTCTGACCCTCCCCTGCTCACGCTGTCTCTCTCTCTCTCAGAAATAAATAAAACATTTAAAAAAATTTTTTTTAATTAAGAAAACAACATCCCTCAGGGGCCATGAAGACACAGCAACAGAGCAGGGACGGGACGGAACAGAGCATCAGACCACACATGCCCTGATCAGGGGCCTCACCCCCCAACAGTGATACCCTCCGTGGGGCCCTCATTGACTGCCCCTCCAAGCTGCGGGACAAGGAGACAGACCTTCCCATCCTAGCCCTCCGATCTTCGTAATCACTGAACGGAAAGTCTCATGACACGTTAGGATAAAAAGTAGGTCAAAACCCACACATAAGCCTCCCAAAGTGTAGATGACGGGACAGACCGGGAAAGACGGCACAGGCGTCAGAGGTGACTCTGGGGTGACAGTGGCTCTTGTTCACCTCTCTGCTGGTCCTTCCAGACTCCCGGCCCCGCCCTGGGCTCTCGGGAGCAGCCCCCGGCCTCCCGCGTGGCTGTGACCAGGGCCAGCCAGGGGGCCGCCACACGCACCTGCCAGGTCCCGGGCGTACTGCTCCCGGGAGCGGTCCATCTGGCACTTGTGGCTGGCCAGCACCTTCTTCACCAGGTCCAGCATGCCAAAGTTCTGCACGATGTTGTTGAGGAGGATGGCATCTTCAAGGCAAGGCGAGCACGTGGTGAGAATGGGGCCCGGCCTAACGGGGGCGCCCCAGGGACACACAGCGTCCCCCACATGGCCCTGTTCCGCCACCAGAAGCCCAACCATGGCGCCACCGGGGCCTGAGTCAATGACTCGTCTGGCATCCTGAGGCCGCCAAGCACCTCTGCCCCCGCCCCGCCCCCCCCCCCCCCAGAGTGGAAGACGCCAGGCAAACATGAGCCCCTCACCTCGGAGCTGCAGGGGGGGGTCTTGGACCCGCTGCTGCAGGCCCTTCATGGTCTCCATCAGCTCCTGGTGGAACTCCTGTATGACCTGGTCCAGCAGCCCCGCATCCTTGAGCCCTCGCCAGAAGGAAAACGTGTCATCTGTGAGGGGTGGACAGGCTCAGAAGGCGGCACAGAGCAGCCCGCACGGGCCTCTAACCACAGGCAGGCACAGAGAGCTGGGGGTCAGGGGCAGAGGCCCTGGAGGTAGCACTCCGCCCTCCATACTGGAACCTCCTCCAGGAGGCACCCCCGGCCCGCCTGCATCCCTCCCAGGGCAGCCCTGCACGCACCGCCGCCCCCACGCCACCACCCACAAGAAGCCCCCCTGCCCGGCGGGACCCATACCTGCGATGGCCGTGGTCCAGTCACCGGGGTCCTCACAGGTCTCTATGGTGATGGTAGCGGGTGACCCGTTCACTACAACCCAGACGGAGCCACAGTGAGCCCCTCCTGACAGCAGGCCGCCTCCCACCCGCCACCCAAACACCAGCTCTGAATCTCCCCTCTGCACGGATTTTCACAGAACCCCCAGACATGGGTGTGAGTGCAACCAGAAGATGCCCCGCCTGTTAAACCTCTTGACCACGGCTGCCTCCAGACAGACCCAAAGAGAGAGCTAAGTGGGCCTCCCTGAGCCCATCGCCAGCTTCCACAACTGCCCCATTTGGCTCTTCTGGGGACATTTACGCCCTTACCAGCATCCCCAAGGCATCAATACGGCCCTGCACCTCCCTAGATCACGAGACATGGCATGTTGAGGGACCCACGCCATGCACACTGGCTCAGCCTCTGGCTCGGCTCTGGTGCCCGCACATGTGCGCACACAGCTGGCGCTTGGCTGCCTTTGACAGAGGCCTGGTTTCACACGGACCTGGCCTAAGGCCAAGCCCGCATCAGCTCCCCGGCCTCAGGCAGGCCTCTCCTCTGACCAACGAAGATGTGTTGCTGAGGAATATCCCATGCTTAGAATAACACAGGGCATAACTGGATCTTTTCCTTGGTGAAGGGGACACAAAATCTTTAACTAATTACACCACTGGCTGAACACACCACCATGTGGGTGAGTCAGGAAGGGCAACAGATAGGCTCATCCCGACCATCAAGGGAGGACAGGCTTCCAAGAGCTAAGTCCGAAAGCCGATGCTGCCTTCACCAGACTCGGTGGTGCCGCCCGCAGCGTTCAGAGCCTAGTCCTTTCTGGAGATGAGGTCACTCACCCCGGCTGACTTAGGAGGCAGGGCTGACGGCCTGGACCCACAAGCCCACAACCTCATAGCAACCATATTCTCATGAGAGCTACCAGTCCCCCAGGAGAGGGGAGAGGACTCGGCTGGGCCCTATGCCACCTCCACACTGCAGCGTGCCAGCCAAGGAGGCAGACCGGGACCCGGCCTGGGGCTGTGCCCAGAAAGAAGCTAAGACCTGAGGCCCACATCACTGCACACAGCAGCTGCTGGACACCTCTGACCACCAGCACCAGCATGTTCCTGGAGCTTCTAGGAAGGGCTCTGAAGGCCGGGCAGCTGTTGGCACTGCAGCCAGCCAGCCCATCGGAGTCCACAACGGCCTCACTATGGCCCTGAGCCTCTTCCACTGTCCTCCCCACACCCCTCACGGCCACTGTCTGGTCAGCAACAAGAAGGGTCCCTGGCCACATGGCAGCACCCAGAGCCTGACCCCGTAGAGTGACAACATAGGGTCAATGGAAGGGCGATCCCACACAATTCTCACCAGGCCACAGCACAGGGGACTAGGGACCTAATTCACTCTTAACTTCAGCATTAAAAAGAATGTCTTCCAAGAAGCCGGAAGGCCTCCAGGGGACATCTAGTCCACCCACAGGTCACGGCTGCAGGCGTCAATGTGGAAGATCACAAATGCATCAACCAAGACCCAAGTCGCAGGAAATGCACACGCCTGAGCCGAGTGCAGGGGCTGCAGGCAGTGCAGGCTCTTGACTCGAGCGCAGCCCAGAGGGTGAGGCCGGAGGCTGGATCAGCCACGAAGGGGGCACCCCTGAACCGGTGGGGCTGGTGACGGCCACTGGAGGCCTGGTGGCCTGCTACTGGAGGCTGGTGACAGCTACTATACTTTACAGGCTTCTCTACGCGTGAGTTATTGTATTTTATGATGAAAAAGACTGAGTTAAGAAAAAGTACCTCAACGTTCTCTGTCAATGACAAGAGCAATTCAGCTAGACCCTCCCAGTGAGAAAGGGGGCAGCTCCGACAGTGCGGGCCCAGGGGGAGCAGCCGAGCCTGGGGGTGAGGGTGGCAGACAGTCCAGGAGAGGTGTGCAGGGGCCTCCCTGGGACCAGATCAAACTGCCTGCAAGACCAAGGCCTCGAGGAGCACCCGGGTGGCTCAGTCGGTTGAGTGTCTGACTCTTGGTTTCAGACTCTAGGTCACGATCTAGCGGTTCATGAGATTGAGCCCCGCGTCAGGCTGTGTTGACAGCGCAGAGCCCGCCTGGATTCTTTCTCCCTCTGTCTGTGCCCCTCCCCTGCTAATGCTCTTCTCAAACATAAAAAAGAAGAAGGACAAACAAGCCCGTGTGCCAGCGTGTACCATCAGCCGTGGCAGGCGTGAGCGGAATGTACTCGGCTGAAGTGGGGCTGCTCAGTGACACGCGGGCGCCCGAGAGGTCGATCTTGGTGCTGCGGCAGGTGTTGGAGCAGACCTTGTCGTGCTGATAGAAGTCCAGCTCCCCGGAGTCCATGATCTTTCTGTGGCAGAGAAGACCAGAGACTGAGGATGCGGCCGGGGCCCCGACTGCGCGGCTGGACCCGAAGAGGGGCCTCGCTCGTGTCCCCTCACCCCGCTCAAGTGTCCTCAGGTCCTGGAGGCAAGGAAGGGAAAGCTTGGCCTGGGGGCAGGTCCCAGGAGAGGCAGCAGCTGTAAAGTGGCCAATGGAGGACGCACCCCCACGGGGCGGGTGCCACAGGCGCTGCAGACGAGCCTCTCCAGCAGCCTCCAGCCAGGGCTCCGTTAGGCAGTGTGAGGACCTGCTGCCGCCCGCGCAAGGGGAAGGTCTGTGGGAACTGCTGGTCCGCTGGCTGGTGCCCAGAAAGAGAGAGGAGGGCCCCGCAGGCAGCGTCCCAGGGACGCCGTGCGCCCACCAGATGATCGTGAGGCAGAAGGGGACAAGAGACCTCCCAGGAGCAGCCCGGCCCGGCCCGCGCCCAGCACCGCAGGACAGTGTGGCCCCTCTGGCTTCTTGCTGCGCACTCAAGGCGGCCCGCTTCCTGGCCTCAGTTTTATCAGGAGAGCACAGCACGTCTCCCCCTGCCAGGGACAGCCTCCAAGGGAGGCCCAATACTGCGGCCTCTCTGGATGGCCTGGGTTTAAGTTTGGGGATGTCTCAACTCACCCCCCTCAACCTGTGCGAGGGTGAGGAGGCTCCACGGGGCCTCTGCATTGCTGACAGCGTGCCTGACCTCAGGGCTTGCAGATGACCCAGGGCGCACCCCCCACCCCCCGAGTCCTCTTCCAAGGAAATAGCCCGTGGCCTTCTCACGGTTGGGCCACCAAGATACTTTTTAGAAAGCCAGGGGCTCGATGGACGGGGCACAGAGGGCAGCCAGGAGCATGCAGAGGGGACCTGGGGCTGAGTGCGAGGGTGCAAAGCAGCAGGCATGCTCCAGAAGCATAAGTCTAACTAAGCAGGCTGCTGGGTGTCTAGCCGCCCAGACGGTGGTTCCCGGGCAGACTGCACAGGGTGGTGGTGCAGGATTCTGCAGAGGCTCCAGGCACCTCACAAGGCAGCAAACACGCCCATGACAGCTTCTCCCACGAGAAAACACATGAAGGTGGGCAGCCCCTTCAGCAGCAAAGTGACCCAGTCCAGCTATGCCAGACGCCGCCACAGACAGCTGCGGCCCCCGGAAAGGCATGCGGGAGGAGCCGTGCCGCGAGCAGAGGTGGGGAGGGTGGGAACAGCCAGCAGAGGTGGCCTCGACCCCATCAGAAGGGGTGAGACGCTGCTGCCAAGCAGGAAATAGGAAACGCTACATTCTTGGGGGTATGAACTTAAAGCCTAGAATGTGTCCTCAGGTTTCTGAGAAGGGCCAGCACCACTCCTGTTGCACAGGTGACAGGAAAGGGGACAGAAGGCCAGGGGGGGACAGGTCACACAGACCCAGGGTGACCAGCAGAGCAGGACCAGCCCTCACACCAGCCTGAGAACCGGCCCACGCAGACGAGCGAAAGGCCCCTTGGGAGACTGACGCACAAGCTTCCATCCTCTCTTTTCTGGGATTAGATGTCACTGAAGGAGCAGAGAGTCGGCCCAAACCTTCCTCCAGATTCCCGACTAAGCTCCAAGGGAAAAGGAGCCAAGGCACCTGAGCAAGGGCACACGGCCAGCGACAGGCAGGTGTGGGCGCCAACCCAGCACAGCCTCAGCCAATGACGGGAGAGGTCAGGGAGCTACACACACACCGACACGTGGCCCCCGAACCAGGTGCGGTCGGGATGGAACCTCCTCAAGGCAGACCGGCCAGACGGACACGAACCGTGGGTCAGAGACCAGGGCCCCTGACCGGGTGCGCCCAGACGCAGAAGCACATCGTCCAATACGGCGACGCACAGGGAGGCAGTGTGAGGACAGCAGACGAGAGCCCCGTGCGGGCAGGGGTTGGGCCGGTGCCGTCCCGGGCACGGCCGGCTCACCTCCTATTCAGAATGTGCCTCGGCTTAAAAGGCTCAAACACTAGGGTGGCTGGGTGGCTCCTTCGGTTAAGCAGCTGACTCCTGATTTCAGCCCAGGTCACGATCTCACAGTTTGTAAGTTCAAGGCCTGCGACAGGCTCTGAGCTGACAGCACAGAGCCTGCCTAGGATTCTCCTCCTCTCTCTCTCTCAAAATGAATAAACTTAAAACAAACAAGGGCCGAAAGCCAGTGAGAGAGCAGCCCCGCGCGGCTGCACCTGAGCATGATGCCGTTCATCCGGATGGCCCTCTTCCAGTCCTTCAGGGTGGACTTGCCGGCCAGGTGCACGAACTCCTTCGGGCTGATCACGTGCTCGTCGTACTGTGGAGGGAAGCAAAGCAGGGCAGCGTCAGGACAGCCCCCGGCGGCCCCGCCTCCCCTGCCCGACCCCCGTGCCGGAGCCCAGCCGCGACAGGCACACAGGAGGGCAGGGCGCAGGGCCGTGGCGCGGCTCCAACAGCCGCAGGCCTGCTCTCCATCAGGCACTTAGGCTTCAACCAGTGGCAACCTCCATTCAGGGAAAAGAACGAATCAGGGGCTGGGAGGGGGGGTCCAAACCTGGGGAGGGAGCCGAGTGCTTGGGCCCTGGAGGGAGAGCTCAGAAAGGCAAGTCCCTGTCGGATGGGACTCAGCAAACCCGCTTAGCGCAACACACACGCCTCGCATCCCTCACACACCAATGCACACACATCACATCCACTTCAACGTCAGGGTTCTGGGGCCAGTTCCACCCAATGTTGGAGCTCAGATGGCTTGAGAAGCTAAAATATCTTATTCAATCTTCTTAAGCAAGCAAATATTGAAACCAAAACATGAGAATAAAACTGCATCTAGTCGGGAAACAAGCAGGCAGGAGAGAGGGTGGTCACGGGGTCTCGGCAGAGGCAGAAACGGAAGTGCCACTGGCCTAGCTGGGGTCACTCTGCACATCCTGCTGGGAGCGCAGAGCGCCAAGCATCCCGGCAGACTCAGGTCACGGCCAGTGCATGCAGCCTGCCTCCACCCCCCGCCCCGATGACGGGAGGGGCTCTCTGAATTTCCGGAGCATCTGCATACTTCCTTTCACTGAGTCCAGGAAGCCACTTGGCCCCTCACCCAGCTGGTTGGGGAGATGGGCTGTGAGCCCAGGCAGCGGAGTCAGAACACCTCCCGAACACTGCCCAAGCCAGCAGGAAGTCCAAGCTGGGCCTAGCCTCTGCCCAACACCTCCCATCCCCGGACAAGACACCACCTCTGTGCCCCCAGGCATGATGCCATTTTCCACCCCCACCCCCGCCCCCAGGCGCATCATCGTCCTGCGCTCTCCCCAGGTGTGACACCACTGCCCCCTCTACCAGCACACGATGCCATCTGGGCTGCGGTCTCTGGCCCACCCTGGCCACGCCCGACTGGTCCACCTCTCCCAAGTCTCGTGCTTTTCTCCACTCCCGCCTCCACACGCTGCCTTAGCTCCTCTCCTGCCCCCCTCTGCGCTGACCAGCACTTGTTGACTTCTCGGGTTTTCTCCATTAGCTGGCAGATCGCACACCACTTAGGGCGGGGGCTGTGCCCACTTGGGCTGTCAGAGTCCAGAGCTGACCAACCTCACGGCCAGGCAGCCACGTTTTCTCTGTCTTTAAAGTCTTCCTGTTGGGGCGCCTGGGTGGCTCAGTCAGTTAAGCATCTGACTTCAGCTCAGGTCATGATGTCATGACGTGAGTTCGAGCCCTGCGTGGGGCTCTGTGCTGACAGCCTGGAGCCTGCTTGGGATTCTGTGTCTCCCTCTCTCTCTGCCCCTCCCCCACTCAGGCTCTGTCTCTCTCTCTCTCTCAAAAACTAAATAAAAAAAGAATTTAAGGGGCGCCTGGGTGGCTTAGTCGGTTAAGTGTCCGACTTTCACTTAGGTCATGTACTCGCGGTTCGTGGGTTCAAGCCCCGCATCGGGCTCCGTGCTGACTGCCAGCTCAGAGCCTGGAGCCTGTTTCAGAGTCTGTGACTCCCTCTCTCTCTGACCCTCCCCTGCTCACGCTCTCTCTCTCTCTCTCTCCTAGAAATAAATAAAACATTAAAAAAAAAAAGAATTTAAAAATATAAAAAATTAGAAAATAGTCTCCATGCGACACATCTCAGGGCTGGAGGCTCCCCGTGTTGGGCTCACCCCACGTCTTTACTTCCCTCGCTCTTCGTGCCCTCTTGCACCTGAGAACTTTCCTTCCGCCTGAAGCACACTTGCTAGAACACCCCTCAGGAGACCCGCTCGTGGCAAAGGCAGTTTTGTCTGAAACACATGTTTCATCCCCTCTAGTTTTTAACGATGATTCCACTGTGCGCAGCTCTTCTCCTCACACAGGACACGGCCCCGCTGCCCTCGGCCGCTCCGGGGCCTCCCAGGGACTCAGCCTCCAGTGGGACTCTTGCTCCTCGGTAACCGGCTGCTCTCGGCTGTACTGGGGTCTTCCCGGTCTCTCGTTCTGCAGTCCATCAGGATGCTCTCTGTGCTAAACCTGGTTTTGCTTCTAACTTGTTATTCTATTATTTTGAACTTACAGAGTAAATGGAATATGAGCATGAAGAACGTAGGCACGGCCCTCCCGGGTTCCCCAACTCCCCACAGTCCGGCCACTCCTCCACACCGTCGGGAGGGAACTATCGTGCGGCTCAGGCCCTTGTTCTATGTTGTCTGTTTCCTAAGAAAAAAGTTCTGCTAGGGAAGCCCCGCTCTCAGTTCAGGACCTCACAGTTCACAGTATCTAATTGGGCGGTTCAGTCGGTTAGGTGTCTGGCTCTCGTTCTGGCTCAGGTCATGATCTCCCGGTTCGTGGGCTCAAGCTCCAAGCTGGGCTCTGTGCTGACAGCTCAGAGACTGCTTGGGATTCTCTCTGCCCGTCCCCCACTCATGCATGCACACTCTTAAAAATAAACATTAAAAAAATGTATACACACAAACACGTGTAATCTACCCACAGGCAGCACCCAGAGGCAATCTACACGAACTGCCCCAGTAACAGCCTGTGTAGCCACTTATCCAAGGTGAGACCCTGCCCAGACTGTGCACCACACCTGCTCCCTGAACAGCCCGCCTGTGTCTTCCTGCCCTTGACATTTCTGAACCACGTACGTGAATTTCTTGTGGACTGTCTGTCCCTCATGTCTACTCATGAGTAGATTCAAATTATGGATTTCTGGTAGGAATACCAGAGAATCCCTGCCTATTCGATCAGGAGACCTGTGACAAATGTCTCCTCACCTGGGTAACGAGCTACCAGCCAGGCTTCCCTGTGGAGCTGCTTTTTCTCCTCTGTAGTGAGCACCTAACTGACGGGCGCTGTCCGCAGACTTGGCAACACCTTGGCTCAAGAGGCCCTCAGTAGCCGGTCTGGGCAGACGCTCGGAGCTGAGGCTCCATCCCCTTCTGTCTGTTAGCTGGCATCCCAAAACGAGAGCTTTACGTCTATTTATTTATTTGCTATAAACACCATAAAATATACTGCAATAAATACAGACTCGTTGACTCTTATTTTGAGTGATAAAGCAGTCTGTCGTTAATTATCTCGGTAGGAGATTGTCCGAGACGGAGCCAGGCCTTGGAGCAGCGCCCACAGCTGTTCGGAACGTGGCTGGTCTCTTGCACTCCTGCGGCGTGGAGTCTGTTACACCTCTCACACTGCGGACTGCTTTCTTCTGCCATGAAAGTTCTCAGACCCTTCTCCTTGCTTCCAGAATTCAACTGATGGATCAGCCTTTCTCCAGCCTCTATCCTCTTTTTACTTATCTGGATTGTATTCTGGATAACTTCTTTACTCCTACCTTCCAGTTCATGAATTATCTCTTCAATCATGCCTAATGTGCTGCAAAAGCTAACTACTAAGAATTCTACTTTAATTGTTTCATTCCTAGTTTGCTTTTCTAAATATGTTAATGCTTTTCCCACGTTCAAGCCTCTCTTTCATTTCTTGAGATAAATTAAGCCTCATTTAACATTCTACGTCTCAAAATTCCGACGCCTTAAGTGTCTGTGGCTCTGACCCTGACCGTGGTTTTTGGGTGCATTCACTTGAATGTTTGGTTTTCCTGTGAGCTCAGAGCTGCTCCTTCCCTGAAACTTTGCGGAAATTACTCAAAACCTGCAATAAAGACGAGTTCTTCCAACTTCCAAAAGGGATTTGTCATTTGCTTCTGTACAATTCTTGGGCAAACTGCCAGCCAGGAGCCCCTTACAACTACACGCTCACAATTTTCAGACCCTGCAGCCACCATGTGAACGCTCCTCAAGAGGGTCCCTCTTTCCCTCAGAGCTGAGACTGGGGGGTGGGGGGGGACAGGAGGGTCCCTGCCCCGGGGACAGAGTGGTGCCAGGGGCATGCTATTAGTGGTTCACCCTGACACTGAGGGGAGAGACCCTGTGAAGTAACAGCATCACAGGGGACAATCCTTGCCCCCCACCCACACACCTCAGGGGAGCCCCGGGCCCTGCGGTGCTGAGGAGGCCCGTGTGAGGCTGGCTCCGCAGGCAGAGGCTGGAGGTGACACCCTGCTTCTTTCTACAGCCCCACCTTCACTCAGTGCCTCAGCTGGAGTATTTCATCCATTTGTGCCAGCCTAAGGGAGTGTCTGGAAGATGCTTTAGGACACAACTCATTCAAGTTGCCAAATAAGAAGGCTCCCCATTCGGCGACTGTGGCGCCCCCCGCACGAGCACGGCCCCTCCCCTGGCCTCCCCCACGGCTGCGCCTCCAGAAGCAGGGAGTCTGGAGCTCCCGGAGCTTCCGCCTGTGCCCTCAGCACGTCCTGTCGTCCCGCTCCTCTGTCCTCCAGAGCACAGGGGACTCCCGCCTTCCACACCCCACACGTCACACCCCCACCCCCAGCAGGGACTTTGTCTGCCTCAAGGCCACCGCAGGGCCCCCAGGGCCTCCCTCCCGCCAGCCTGGCGCCCGCGTCTGTGTCCAGGCAGTGTCGGAGCCTCACCTGAACACACTTCACGTTGATGCCCGGACACACGAACTTCCGCCAAATCAGGCTGGCCCTGCTGTCCCCGCAGGTGATGGGGTACACGATTTCAGCCTCCAGCCCCTCCTCCTCTTCGGCCACCTTCACTTCTCACAAGGAGCATCGGCAGGGAAAGGGTAGAGACAAAACCAGTTACAACCTCTCCAGTACGTCCTGCAGAAGCATGACAGCCACCACACAGAAGCCAGAGACGAAGGCTTAGGGAGGGAGGCCTGCGACAGCCCCGGGTGGGCAGCGACATCACTCACCAGTCCCCCTGGGGTTACCGGTTCAGGCAAAGTCACAAAAATCGATTTTATGACGGTAATGTTAGCATAATCACATTAAAGGACCGTTCAACTGAAAAGCCACTTAAGGAAATAAAATCAAGCTATACTTGGAATAATTCTAGAGAAACTGATTCTGTCTTGAAGGCTTCTGAGACCTTTAGCCGTTGGCTGCCCGTCACAACAGCCCCTGGGGCAGGAGCCAGAGGGCGGGCCCCTCCCACCGGGAGGAGGCCCCTCCAGTCCCCTAGTTGTAGCCCTAGTCGGGGAAACCCTGCCGGGGCTGCCCGTGGGCACAGGCAGGCAGGCTCCCTACCTAACACGGCCTCCTTGAGCTGCGAGGATGCTGTGAAGGCAGCCGCGGCGGCCGCCGCCGCGTTCTCTGTCTCCATGCTGTCTTCGGCCAGGTCGCCCCTAGGAGGGAGGGACACATCAGCTCGCCCTAAAGACAGCGCGCCTGGTGCACCTTCTGCCAGTACGCTGCCCCTTCCCCAAGGTGGCCCAGGGCCCCAGCAGGGCTGTGCAGGACGGGGACCCTGCGGTGACGGCAGGCATTTCCCGAGTGTCCCCGGGGCCACCACCAGGGCACATCCGTGGAGACAATAAAACCTAAGTGGGAATTTTAAACCTCCTCTTCTTTCTTTAACGAAATTTTTTTATTTCTACTATAATGATTTTGTAGGTTACATAAACTATCAGGAAATACGTGAGGAAGAAAGAAAAGGATGGCCCACGGCCACGCTCACGTGACAGCAAAACTTACGTGCAGATCGAATGCACAGGTAAGAGCAAAACCGCAGAAGCATGAAAAGCAGAAGAAATTTAATGGTTTGAAAGTGGTGACGGATCTTCCCAAACAATACAAAACGCAGAAATAAAAGAGAAGTTTTCTCTTTAAAAATTACAAGTAAGAGCTTTCTGCATGGGGGGGAAAACACCATAAACAATTTTCTTTTTTAAAAGAAGAAAGGAAAAGGTAGACGGCACGAGGAGCCCTCGGATTGCCACGATGGCCCCGAGGAAACAGGCCACGACCTGGAGCGGAGATCCTGACCCGTGTGCAGCACCCTCGAGCCGGGGCCACCTGCACAGCCGCGCAGAAAGCCGGTCCCGGGGCTGCACGGGGCTCCCTGCCAGGGCTGTACGCGCGCTTTTCCGTGGGAAGAGGTGAGCTCGCACACGCAGGGCCTCCCACCCCCTGGGCCACCCCCGGGGGGCTTTCACCCTCCCACGGTCTCAGTCAGCACTTCCAGCCCAGATGCCCCCAGCCCTCCTTCCTCCCACAGGGTCAGACAGCGCCCCCTGCGCCCTCCCCTCCTCTCTGCAAGTGCACCTGTCCGGGAAGGCTCCCCCCGAGAGCGGCACGCTGCTGCCGGGGTCCCCACTCCCCTGCCAGCCCACAGCGCCCAGGTGGGCACCCAGTCAAGGCTACTCTGAGCATCCGAGACCTCATTCCAGCTCCAGCCGGGTTGGGACGAGAGCTGACAAGAGCAGACTCAGAGCCTGCTGCCTGGGGCCTCTCAGGAGCGGCTCCTACAGAAGCGTCACACCCAGGGGACACCAGCGCTCTGAGCGGGATGCAGCAGCTCAGGGAAAGTGACCTTCCAAGCCAGAATTCAGAAGTGGGAAGGATGATGTCCAAACAGGGAGCAGGCTCCTCCACACAGGAGAACCGGGACGGTCCCCGAGAGAGTCAGGAGAGGGAGGCAGGGAACACCAGCGCGAGAGCTCGGTGTGCCACACGCTAGAGGTGGCCCGCCACAGGCTACGTGCACACACAGCAGGCCACCCACAGGGACCGCCCTGGGGAAACCCAACCATCTGGCACACGACCCTCCTCTGTGCCCACCCACCGCACACAGTCCAAGGGAAGGAATCTTTCTTTGGCAAAGTCACTGTCATTTAATGTCATTCAAATTTCATTAGGAAAAAAGTCCTCTTTCCTTAGAGTAAATGTTCCTGGGAGCGGCTGGCTGTCTGCATAGCACTGCGTGCCTCCTCCCAACATGGCCCGTGTGCCCGTCGCCAGGGCAGAGTGGTGGGCGAGTGGCACATCAGCGGGCTTTCCCAAATGAGGGACACTCCCAAGCTCTCCCCCAAACACCCGGCCGGGAAAGAACTCAGCGCCCACAAAGCAGGTGACTGCCCCCTTCACCCCACCCTTTTCCTAAACACACAGCACGAGTGAATCTCAGCTTCCACACAATATGGTAGCAGGCAAAATCTCCCACAGAAGAGAAATATCTTTAGGTCCCTTGAGATCAACTTGCCTCCACTGGGGCATGGGGTTTTCTCCCCCAGGGAGAAGCCACACGCAACCCCTCCTGTCCTCCGTAAACGACCATTTGGTCTTCCAGGCACCGGGGGGGGGGGGGGGGGCAGGGACATGAAGCCGGCGTGGCCTGGACCAGAGCACCTCTGCGAGAATGGCCATGGGTGAGGGCTCCTGACACAGGCTGGCCTGAACCCAAGGGAGGGTGCTTGGGCACCGCCTCCTGCTGGGAAGGGCAGGTCACTGCAGGGCATGTGGTAGGGAGACACGGGGTCGCTGTCCAGAGACCTGCTCCCGCCCCTGCGGCAGGGACACAGACCACGTAAACACCAACCGGAGTCAACACGAGAAGGCAGGTGGGACACCCACGGGGAGGCCCCACGTCTCCACAGTGACAGCCGCGTCAGCGAAGCCCTGAGAACCCGACCGTGAAGCCCAGCAAGCCCCCGAGCCGGCCCTCCCGCCATCCTGTCTGCAGGAGGCCGGCTGGAAAAGCCAGGACAGGTTCGGGCGCAGGGCCACGCAGGTGAGGCAGGAAGTCTCTAGGCCGCTGCGCAAGCGAGCAGCACAAGGGAATGAAAACACGAGCGTCTTCTCTGCCAGCGACGGGAGTCAGCGCGCAGGCCGGGTCCTGGGCCGAGCGCCTTCCTCTCAAAAGTTCTGTCGGGTAGGGAAAAGGCCACAGCACCCCTGATCCCTGCTGCAGTGCGGCGCTGACGTCAGTCTGAGCGGGTCACGCGCTGCAGAGCAGACACCGACAGCAGACCTGCCCCGGCCTGGACTCCCCCAGCAGGACGCGCCCGGGGCCGCCAGCGACACCCCCCACCCGGTGGCCTGTTCCTGCATGCCGCCCTTCCAGCGGGGCCGGGGCAACAGCGGGCGCACAGGCAGGAGCCATTCTGCCCCATGTGGCAGCTCCCTCAAGTCAGACGTGACCTTTCTTGCCAACTGCTACTCTGTTCGCACATCTACCACAGATGAGGAGGAAAAAACTGTTTTCGTGCGGTTTGTCAAGAAAGTTATGGGATCCTTGACTTCATTTTGCAAAAGCAGTTCCCAGCTGTTCCCACTGTCCATCTTATCGAAAGCCTAATGACCCTGCATCTCCGGAAATGAAAACCGCGCGCCCACATTGATGAGGGAGGAAAAAGGCAAAGATCAAGCATTATCTTTGCTTCCTGGCTGATATGAGGTTTCCATTTTTCCTTCACACTCTCCACCAACACAGACACTTCAGTCAAGGGAACTCCGGACGTCCCCGCCCTCACGCGATGCCCAGGACACCAGGGCCAGAGCGGCCCTCAAAGGACAGAGGCCCTGTCTCACCCGTGAGGAGCCAGGTTGGTTGTCACCAGCACAGTCTTCACCTCCTCCACGCCGCTGCCATCCACCGCGGTGTCTGGTGTGGTCACCACCACCACCTCCTCCATGTGGACGCTCACATCCGGGGTTGCCATGGCTCAGCTGGAGAGGACGCCGGGACGAGACGGTCACTCCGCCAGGGTCCCAAGCCCTAGAGGAAACCACAAGGCAGGGCATGGGGTGTCAGGGGGTCTCTGCGCCCGCACAACAGAGCTCGCAGATGCTCCCTCCAGCCATGCCCACTGCTTCTGGAGACATGTGACAGCGACAGGGCTACTCCAGGGCAGCTGGTTCTGGTGCAGACGGGAGAGCACAGCTACGGTCCCCGCGCAGAACGCACAGAGCACATGGACCCGAAAACTCCACGGTCACACAGCAGGGGACAGGGCAGGAGACCAGGACCCAGGTGGACTGCTGTGGAGGGGAGTCCCCCAGCCCCAATCCGGAGGCAGCCTGCATTTCAGAACAGCGCACGGTAAGTATCTGGAGACAAGTCTGCTCTCCAGTCTGCAGAAACGGAAGGGACAGAAAAGGAAGAAGGGCCCTGCTTGTATGATTACTTTGTTTCTCCTGGCTCTGCTTCAGGCCAGCCCCAGTCCCTGCTAAAACGGTGATGGGAGTGGCCCAGCAGGCTCCTAAAACTCTGCGGGACTAGAGACCGGGGGCCCCCACTTTTCTCCTGCTCCCCATGCTGACCCCTGCCCAAAGCAGACCCTGCCCAAAGCAGACCCTGTGCTGGGGCTCACAGCACGGAGGACACATGAAAGCCAAAGGTTTCTAGTCAAAGGAAGAGGACCCTGGGGCCAGAGACTGTGGGGGACGCCATGCGGAGCAGGGAGGTGTGGGAAGGGTGCCTGTCTGTGGGGAGGCCTGACCCTAATGGCAAATCCAGGGTTTCAAGAACTGACTTACAGGTCAGCCCCGGAGAGCACAGCACAGGCTCCAAAGACAGAGCTAGCGTGAGGACGCTGCCCACAGAAGGAGCTCAAAACCTGCAGCCTCAGGCTGCTTTCGTGCTGTTACAGAAATGTAACTGTCTCTGAGAGTTAAACAAGACCCCCCCCCAGCCTCACAACACAACCAGAATACAATCCAAAATGTTCTGACATAAAAAGCAGCAGGAAAGTCTGGCCAATTCTCAAGGGAAAAAATAATCAAGAAAAGCCCAGTCTGAAATGAATCATCAGAGCCTTTAAAGCAGCTGGTGCACCAGGCTTCAGGAATGAAGCCAGATATTCTGGAAACAAGTGAAAAGATAAGAAGTCTCAGCACAGGAACAGGAGTCACAGCCAAATGGAGGTCTGAGAATTAAAAACATAGTAACAACAGAAATACAAAACTCACTGGATGGACCCACTATCAGAACGGAGATGGGAGAAGACAGAGGCGAAATGATGAACTGAACACAGGTCAACAGAAATGAGCCAAGCGCCCAACAGAAACAAGGTGGAGAAACAAAGGAGCAGAGCTCAGAGGGAGCTGGGCGTCCAGAGCACTGAAGGCCCAGAGGAAAGAAGATAAGAATGTGAAGCAGGAAAAACAGTTTGAAGAAATAATACCTGACCGCTTCCCTCACCCCAAATTTAGTGAAAAGTATAAATGTGCAGGTTCAAGTAGCTCAGCAAACCTCCAACAGAATGAACTCAAGGAAATCCATGCCCAGATCACAGTCGAATTGCTGAAAACCAAAAACAAAGTAAGAATATTTAAAAAGCAGGGGCGCCTGGGTGGCTCAGTCAGTTAAGGATCCGACTTCAGCTCAGTCATGATCTCACAGTTCGTGGGTTCCAACCCCGCGTCGGGCTCTGTGCTGACAGCTCAGAGCCTGGATTCTGCTTCGGATTCTGGGTCTCCCTCTCTCTCTCTGCCCCTTCTCTGCTCGCGCTCCGTCTCTCATGCTCTCAAAATAAACAAACATTTTTTTAAAAAGTTTGGAAAGCAGCCAGACAAAAAAGGACACACCACCTGCCCGAGAGCGACTCAAGGGGCCAAGGGTGTTCACAGAGAGCAGTGGGCATGGGCGCGACACCGTGCTGGCAGAGTGCTGGCCGCCAGGGCTCTACAAGAGTGTAAAGAGCCTACAGAAATAGAAGCAAAACAGAGCCATTTTCAGACGAAGGAAAAGTCAGAGAACTGGGCACGAGCAGACCTGGTCCAAAGGAAGTGCTCACGGATGGCCTTCAGATAGAAGGGAAACTCGAACAGAGAAATCCCGTAACTTCAAGAGTGAAAAAGAGCAACGGAAACGGTAAATAGCTGGGTAAACACACACTAAACTGCTTTTCTCTCACGTTCTTTATATGACAGCTAGAAAGCAAAAGTTCCGCACCTTCTGGCAGGACTTCCAACGCAGATGACAAGTAACACGCAGCACGGACGAGGGAAGAGGTGGCACGGCTCCCACGGCCCACCGAAGCGGGCGAATGCTGCTCTACGCCCGCTGTGACACACGGAGTCCTTCAAAAGCTGAACGGGTAACAGGGTTTATGTTCTGCACAATGAAGGTTACTCAGATGAAGACGGAGGAGCCCCGAAGGCACGCCAGGCCCGCAGGAACCTTACGAGAAGCCGGTCTGGGAGGCCGCACCGTGGGAACCGGTGAAAGACCAGTGGCTGTGGGAGGGCTGCGGGAGAGAGGGCTGAAGGGGTGAAGCACAGGGGACCTGAGGGCACTGAAAACACGCCAGATCACGCTCTAACGGTGCTACGTGACATCATACGCTTGCCCAAACCCCATTTTCTAAAATATAACTTCTGTGTTCTAGGTTTAAGATTTGAAACAAAGACTTTTAAACAAACAAGAGTAAAAGTCTACTTTAAAACTGTACTGTGGGCGCCTGGATGGCTCAGTCGGTTAAGCGTCCGACTTCAGCTCAGGTCATGATCTCACAGTTCATGGGTTCGAGCCCCGCGTCGGGCTCTGTGCTGACAGTTCAGAGCCTGGAGACTGTTTCAGATTCTGTGTCTCCCTCTCTCTCTGACCCTCCCCTGCTCACACTGTCTCTCTCTCTCTCAGAAATAAATAAAATCTAAAAAATTTTTTAAAAATAAAAATAAACAACTGTACTGAAGGGCCTCCTGGGTGGCTCAGTCGGTGGAGGATGTGTGACTCTCGATCCCAAGGCTTTGAGTTCGAATTCCAAGGTGGGTGCACAGATTACTTAAAAAATAAAATCTTTAATTAACCAATCAATTAAAGTTGAACTTAATATTGAGTTTTGGTGCTAATGTCTCAGGGTTTAGCTATCTTACCAAGCAAGGACCTCTATTTTCATTGGGTCACAATGCCGCTCCACAGGATGACAAAAGTCCCACTTCAGCCAAAGCTGCAGAAAGGCAGGCGTCAACCTACACGCACGTGTCCTCCCCCAAACTTCAACACTTTGCAGAGGACTAAGTAGTATAAACGCACAAAACTGTATTCTTGTCTCTCCAGTGGCAACTGGATTAAGTTTCCAAAACAACACATCTGCAAGTTACTCCACAGAATGAGGTTCAAGTCCTTGACGGAGTGATGTAGACACAGAGCAGGCAGGGCGGTGTCATCCAGCCCCGGGCACAGGAACCGAACCTCCCCAGTGGGTGAGCATGACCTTCGGGGCCCCTAGCACGAGGTGGACCTGAGACAGAAACCTACTCCCAGGGCCTGGGTTCCTGACGTGTCGATCAGGCCCCAGTGAATTGTGACGTAAATAAGACAAGAAGAAACATTTTTTTAAAGAGCGTTCTTAAAAGCAAAAATATATGAAAACAACACAAAACTGTTAGTATGTTGTCAGGACGTCGAATGCAGACACAGCTTCCTGAGTCTTCTGCAAGATCACAAATGTTTTCCTTTGAGAAAAACACCACTAAGAATACAGCTGAGGTCGCACACGGTGGCCCTCGGCACCATTAGTTGGATCCTCACAGGGTTTCCAAACTTCAAAACTGGTTGCCAACTTTGTCAGAGTTCACAGGGTTCACATAAAAAATCTGGATTTTCAGCTGCTCTTCCTGCATGGAGGTGGCCCCTCCGGACCTTCCTGCCTTTCTGGAAGAGTCTGGGCCTCACCTGCCCTCGTCAGCGAGTCACAGACCCCCAGCTCTGGCATCAACCACAGCATCCGCGTCCCACCCGGCCAGACTGGGCCAGACACGCCCGTCTTCTGGCTCTGAGAAACCACTTCAGCGGCCGCCGTTCTCAGTTCAGGCATCAAATGGCTTGTTATTTTAAACCCTAGACTTGAATACAGTTTTACGGTGTTTTAAATTCATAGAAACTCCGTGTTTCTATGCACATATACAAATTCCTCCGCTCTCCGTATGTCTTCCCCAAAATTTTTTTAAAAGTTTATTTTTTTTGAGGGGGGCACCGACAGAGAAGGGACAGAGAATCCCTAGCAGGCTCTGAGCGGTCATGGTCGAGCCCAACGCGGGGCCCAAACTCACGAAGCAGAAGATCATGACCTGAGCTGAAATCAAGAGCTGGACGCTTAACCAACTGAGCCACCCAGACGCCCCTCCTCATCTTACCAAAATGTTTAAGATACTTCCTATAAAGAAATATTTTGGGACAAGCACTCTGCCTAGTTCATCTCATGTTGGAGTTGAATTTACTGCACAGATTCCCCGGGTAACAAGCCCGACGTCGGGCACTGTTTGGTGGGAATGCCAATCGGTGCAGCTACTGTGGGAAGCAGTACGGAGGTTCCTCAAAAGACAAAACTACCATCTGATCCAACAACGTCTGGGTACGGATCCAAAGGAAATGAAATCAGGGTCTCCCAGGGAGACCTGCACCCCCACGTTCCCGGCCGCACTCTTCCCAGCAGCCGTGGTGGCAACAGCCAAAGGCCACGGGCAGAGGAGCGGATGCAGAGAACGCGGTGTGCACACAGCAGAACGTAACCTCGCGGCCACGCGGACGGACCCGGGGGCTAACACGCGGGGTGAGAGGAGCCAGGCGCGGCACGACCCGGCTTCCAGGGGGAGCGGGCGGGGGGCTGCCAGGGGCCGGCGGAGGAGGGGCTCCGCGGCGGTTCCGGCTGCGGTGCAGACGGTACCGCACAGCACGGCGCCCGCGGGCGGCACGGACCACGCACTGGAAATTGGCCCAGGAGGTGCCTCTTGCGTTAAACGTTCTCATCACGAAATAAGGGGGTGGGAGGAAGCTTTGTGAGGCGAAAGTCGGGATGGGGTAATGGTTTCCCCAGCACGCACATCTCCAGATTCATCAAGCTCTATTAATTATGCACACGTTTTCTGTACGTCAAAAACAAGACCGATGTAATCCACACTTGTATTTAAAGCGTTAGCACAGAGAACATGGATTCCGTGGAAAATCAACCAAGCGAATTGCAAAGTTACTCAACTTGGTAACACGTCGTTACTGGCGCCGGATCCCCGCCTACACGGTTCCTACCAATGGCCCCGCACGGGCACGGGCCCCCGAGCGCGGCGGGGGCCGAGCCCACACGGCTCCCAACCGACGCTGGCCACGGAGGGAGCCCGCGTGGCCGCGGCACCGCCGGGCGGGGAGGGGCCCGCGTGGCCGCGGCTCCCGCCCGGCCGGGGAAAGGCGGGGAGGAATCCGCACGGCTCCCGCAGGACGGGGGGGCGGGAGGGGGTTCTGCGCCCAGCCCAAGGGCCATGCCCACCGCCCCCCAGCAGCCCGCCCGCCACCTTCCGGCAAGATGGAGGCGGACGCCGCCGCCGACGCCGCCTGACGCGGGCCCGTGACGCCCGTGACGCCCGTGACGCCCGCCGCGCGCCGCCGCCCCTCCCCCGCTCCCCTCCCCCCGCCGTAACGTCCTGACGCTCCGCAGGGACCCCTGACTGGACGGCGGCGCGCGGCGGAGCGAGAGGCCTCGCCGCGGGGGGGCCGCGGGCGCTTACCTGGGCCGCGGCCGGGCCTGCGCGGGCGCCGGCGGGCGGGCGGCGGCGGCGGCGTCAGGCGGGCGGCGGCGGTGGCGGCCGCGGGCTCCGCTCCTTGTTGGGGATTCGGCGGCGGCGGCGGCGGCGGCGGCGGCGGCCCGGGCGCGCGCTTCCTAGTGACGCAGGCGGCGGGACCGCGCACGCAGGGCAGGGGTGGGCCGGAGACTTATTTGGCGCTCGGCGGGAAGGCGTGCGGCGCCGAGAAATAAGGCCCGGCGGGTCCCACCGCGCGTGCGCCGGGTGGGGCGGAGGTTGGCAGAGGCGGGACCCGGGGCGGATGCGGAGGCACCTTCGTCGGGCCCCGCCCACCGGCGCACCTGCGGGGGGTCCGCCCACACAGCTGTGCGCCCGGAACCCCCGGGCGGAAAGACCTCTGGAGGTAGACTTTATGGAGGGCGGGGGCGGATGGGGGCGGGGAGGGTGCGCCTGAACCGCGGCAGGAACCGGATCTAGGTCTCGTCGTTTGGAGCGCGTGGAGGCGCGTCGGCCCGGAGGCGGGCTCCAGAGGCGCAGCTCGCGTCTGCGGCTTCCCGCTCGGCCAGGCCGAATCCTGCAATTAGCCGGTTTCCGGTAGCAAGCCTTCAAAGGGGCTGTCAGCGATCTTTCTGAATGCGCGCTGCGTCCTGCAGTGCTCACCCCAGCCGCACTGTCCTGTGCTGTATCCGCTGGATGTGCGCTCATTTACATTTAAGTTAATTAAAATTCGGGTCCTCAGCTTTCACGGAGCCGTGAGAGACAGCCAGATGTGGGGTTGGGGAGCGCTGAGAATTGCTCTCGCTCACTCTAATTACTTTTAGTTACAGGCGAAGCCCTTGCGTTTTTACAGAACGTAAGCTAAGAAACATTACTCAGTTTTTATGGAATACCCTCGATTTGGGAGCAGGCACAAGCATCCTTGCTGTCTGATTGAAAAGGTGCAGTGGGAGCCCCAGGGCGGTGGTCATCGAGCTCCATCGGCCGTGTCCACAGCCGGGGCGGTTGTGCGGCTTCACGCTCTGGGCCCGAGAACGCGAGGACTCTGCAGGGGTGTGGTGGCCGGCGTATTCCTTGGTCGGCCTGCTGTGGGTCTCCCTACCTGCACCGGGCAGTCGAGGGGGCAGCACCCAGAGGGTGTCTTCGGCCGCCCACTCGGGGAACAGGGCGAGCAGTCTGAGCTCTCCTGACGTGGGTGTGATTTCTCTCAATGCTAGCAGCTGCCGGAGAAGTACAGGCCCCCACCCCCACCCCCTGCTGCTCCCAGGGAGGGCACAGGGGAGGCAGGAAACAAATGCCTGGTTCGGGACCAAGCGTGAACTCACTCGTGCTCAGACTTCAGCAGAAAGATTGCTGAACACCATTTTCCAACCTGGAGGTTTTCAAGCAAACTTCATTTCAGTGATGTTATAATGAGAGTGACAGTTTCATTCTGTTTTCAGTCATTTAGAGCGTACTTAAACCAGTGATGGGGGAAAACGTTAGTTTTTAAGATGATACTATTGAGGGGGACCTGGGTGGCTCAGATGGTTGAGTGTCCTACTTCGGCTCAGGTCATGATCTTGTGGATCGCGAGTTCGAGCCCTGGGTAGGGCTCTGTGCTGACAGCTCAGAATCTGGAGTCCGCTTCAGAATCTGTGTCTCCCTCTCTCTCTGCCCCTCCACCTCCCCTGCTCCTGAGTGCGCGCTCTCTCAAGAATAAAGAAACATTTTTTTAAAAAGTTTTCAAAGATTATGCTATTGAGCTTGTGCCAGTGGTGCTGTTTTATTATCTGATAGATATGAGGATGAGTGTGCACGAACCGTGTCTGTGTTTGTCATTTATCTGAGCTTCTCTGTCCTCACATTCGTGAAATAAAGTCAAAGGGAGACTGCTCAGAAGGGCGCTGGAGACATACTGTGCACGTGTGGCGCCTGAGAGAGCGTGCACGTGACAGGGTGCCTGCCACAGTGGCCAGCAGCCCGAGTCTGGGCACCCAGCATCCCTGGCCTCTGCTCTCTGTGTTTGGGCTGCTGCATGACCTCCACTTTGCGTGCCATAGGCCCTCAGGCTCAGCATTGGAACCTGTGCTCACCTTTTCGTCTCCCAAAGAACAAAGTCGCAGCACTGGGCTCTGCTTGGCTGACAGGATAAATCAGTTTATACTTTGGGTTGGGGGTGACTTCTCCCCAAGAACACCCATGTGAGATTCCCAGGCCACCACAGGCTCCCAAGGGACGGGAGGCTTTGCCCTTGGTTTGTTGCTAAGGAAGGGAGATCACAGTGTCTTGCAAGTCATTGACCTCAGACTTTCTGACGATGCCTGGACCCCATGGAGGCCATGAGACCATGGGTGTCATCCAGGCCCAAGGATACTGTGGGGTCACCATACCCCACCCTCTCCTCAGGCTCTGCTTCATTCGGCTCCCCACCAGACAGGAAGCAAGACAGACGCAGGCACCTGTTCTGCCAGGAGTTGGCCCTCCCCTCCAGCACTCTGCAAGAGCGTCGGCCAAGGCGGCTCAGCGCTGGGAGCTTCAGAACCACATGTGGGGACGAGGCGCACACAAGCTCCAGACAGAGCAGAGGATGACAGAAGAGTGTGAGAAGTTCACATTGCCCCCAACTTGTAAGAAACTGCCCCATGTCAAGCTTTGGTTTAATATTAAAGAACAGGCTATTAATACACACTTTCCTTCAACCGTGGGTCTGAGGCCAGATTTTTTTCATAGGCTTCATTCTCACTAATTTTTTTCCCTAGGAAAATATCACTCATTTGTTGTTGTTTACATTTTTATTAGTGCACAAACATGCACAGGGGGGAGCAGAGAGAGGGGGAGAGAGAATCCCAAGCAGGCTCCACGCTGTCAGCACAGAGTCCAACTCTGGGCTTGATCTAACGAACGCTGAGATCATGACCTGAGCTGAAATGAAGAGTCTGATGCTTAACCAACTGAGCCACCCATGTTTTTTTTTAAGCAAACATTTTTGTTAGATATTTTGCCACAATATCACTATGTTTTCACCAGGTCACTAAAATCAAATGTAATTTTCCAGGGTCCAGTTAAAACCCTAGAGCCCTTGTCTTTTTTTTTGTTGTTTTTCCACTTTGCTTTTATTTTATGTCTTTTATGGTTTTATTTCACTTTAGTTTTCCATTATTTTGTCATTTTCCATAATATCTTAGGGAATTTCAAAAAATAAAGGGGTTTATCTTGTAATTTGAAACTTTTTTGTTAATGTTTATTCATTTTAGGGAGACAGAGCCCGAGCAGGAGGAGGACAGAGCGGGAGACACAGAATCCAAAGCAGGCGCGACGCTCTGAGCTGTCGGCACACAGCCTGCCACGGGGCTCGAACTCAGGACCTGGGAGATCATGACTAGAGCCAAAGTGGGCCGCTTAACCGGCTGATTCCCCCCGGCGCTCCCGGAAGCCCATTCTTGGGACTGAAAGGCTGTTTTTCCAACATCCGGAGCTAGGCGAGCCCAGGAGGACGCTCCGGCCCGGGTTTCAGAGGAAGCACAGCCTTGTGACGCCTTGATTTTTGGCTTCTGGCCCCAGAACTGTGGGTGAATACATTTCTGATGTTCTCAGCCCCAGTTTGTAGTACCTATCACAGCAGACCTAGAAAACTAATAATCAGTGTTGAATCGCAAAACTTGTTCAGCGAAGAGAGACTGCCGTGGTGTGGTCGGTGCTCGCTTCTTCTGCCTCCACCTGCGTGTAGCCACGGCTGAGCTCACCTGATGGGGTGTGTGAGAAGCTGCAGGGAGGCCCTGCCTGGGACAGTCATCTTTCTGGGCTGCCATCTGGCCTGTTTTGCTAGACGCCGTATTTTGGGGTGGGGGCCTGCTGCAGCCCCAGACACTGAGTGAATACCAGCTTGTCCACAACACGGGGTCACTAAGGCAGAATGCCTAAATGGGATTTAAATATGCCCATAGATCCTTTGACATCCTTCCTCTCCATAGGTGGAACCTGAGTCCTCCCCAGTGCAGGCTCTCCGTGGTGACGCGCTGCCGACAGGACAGGCGTGTGCTCCGCCCGAGATCGGCTCACGCAGCTGCCCTGTGTCCCCTCGGACAGCTCGCCCCGGGAGGACCAGCCCTGAGGAGGGTCCACGGGGCGACGACCTGAGGCTGCCTGCGAGCGGGGCAACCCGGGGAGCCTCCAGCCCCGTCCGGCCAGCAGGTGGCCAGGGCCTCGGTAGAGACGCTGAGCAGACGGCCCGGCTCCTGGGGCCCTGACTTACGGACGCTGTTAGATGAAGGGTGTTGTCTGCTTGGGGTAACTCGTTTCACAGCGGCAGGTAACTAATACAGGACGGGCTTCCCAGAAGGACTCCTGCCTTGCCTTTTCTTGGTTAGGGAAGCGTGGCCCGCCTGTGAAGGATCCTTCCATGTGCCAACTGTGGCAGATGCCGTCTGCCCCTCGATGCCTGATTAGGGCCCCCTAAAAATTGAGAAGCCCTAGTCTGTGACCAGCCTGATCCTCTGGGAATCCCAGGCTCTGTGGCACACATGCGTCTGTGTAACAGAACCCAGGCATGCAGAACGCACGCCTCATAAAATATTTTCAACTCGCTCCCTTTCCCTCCCATTGTCCCCAGGCTTCTGATGGCTCTGTCTCTTGTGCAGCTGTGTGTCCCAGATTCTGACTTTTCCCACCTCTTCCTGGGCAAGGGAGGGCGAGGATATGGTTCTCACTGTGTCAGCCTGGGGAAGTAGCTCAGACTGCCCCCAGAGAGGGCCGGGAGTGTGGCGGGCAGTGAGGGGGTCTCTCTGGACCCTGGGGAGCCTGGACCTGAGGCTCATGTGCGGGCCTGAGCAGAGGCTGCGTGGACACCTACCAAACATGCCTCCTCCCTAGCAGCGGGGTCCCTGCTGGGCACCCCAAGTGGCTACTTGGGTCTCATGGGACAGGCAGGTCACCAGTGCTGAGTCCAGATGTCTGCTCATTCTCTTTTTGCCGCTCAGGGAACCCGTTTTCTGTCTGTGAGCAACAGCTGCCCAGTGGGGTCCACAGAGCTGTGGGGTCCGTCCCTGGGAGGCTAGACCCACCCACATCTGAGCAAGACCCACAGGACGCTACAGTGAGAAAGACAAGCCTCGGGCCCCCACGTGTCCCCCGTAGCAGCAGCTCCCGCCTCCTCCCTCACACTCCCACTGTCTCCTGGGGCTCCAGGGAGGAAAATGGCCTTGTGTGTCATTTCCACGCTTACTTCTTAAAGCCTCCATGGTCATTGGAACTGTCCGTCATGGTGATTAAAACAAGCTTGATAAGGGGCTCTGGGGTAAGCACTCACACACTCACGAGGAGTGACCCTGCAGCCCTGTGCAGGATGCACAGGGGACGCTTCAACCACTTCTTAAACATGCAAGTTGTTTTTCCTTTAATTATTCATTCGGTTTAATTTAAAGTTCACTTTCGCTACGTGGATGACGTGGGCACAATGACACTAGGCTTCCGCTGTGAGAGCTGCCGCTGCTCAGAGACCCAGGCTTCCGTTCTCCTTCCACTTCCCTCTCTTGGGTTCCACGTGTGGGTTCCAATCCTAGCCTGTCACTCCCTCGGAGGCCGTGTGGGCGGGGGTCCCGACTTCCCCATAAGCCTGTCGCAGGGAATCGGCGTCCGTCTGTGCGCTCTGGCTGGGTCCTGGGAGACGGCCAGCGCCGCCCCTGCAGGTTTCTGTGGGACGGAGGCCAGGGGCACGGGGCGCCGAACCCACCTGGTTTCTGAGGTGCTCTGGGTCCTGCAAGCACCCGCAGGCTGTCGCCTCATGCTTTCCAGAGGACGGCCAGCACGCACCTGCCTTTGGTGCTCAGGTGGGGGATGGGGCTGCTGTGGCTGCGGTGACACAAGGGCCGGACGCCGCCCGTGTCCAGCAGGTGAAGCCGGGGGTCTGGAGACGCGCCCCCCCCAGGCCGAGGGAGGGGGAGGGGAAGGAACCCAGTCCAGGAAGGTGTTGGCAGGAGAGACCTAGGGCCGGGTCTCCAACTTGCAGGCTGCCCAGAGGGGGCCACGGGTCACGAATGTCAAGGATGGGTGAGGCAGGAAGGTGGTTTGGGAAGCCCGTCCCTCAACATCTGAATCTGCAGGCAGCTGGGCCCCTACTCCCCTTGCTGTTTCTTCCCTGAGGGCCGCCTGTGGCCACCACCCACTCACGCTTGGCCACACCTGTGCAGAGGTGAGCCTGGAAGGCCCACGGCCCAGAGCATCATGGGAGCATCTTTCTGCCAGAGTGAGGGCACGGGAAGGGGCCAAGACTCACAGAGCTCCGAGGACAGGGTGCCCCGAGGGTCTGTAAAGCCCAAGGGGAGAAGCGCAGTGATGATGGAGGAGGGCGCCCCCACACGAGTACTAGGCCAGAAGCTCTGGGAGGCGGGCGTTCCTGGGAGGAGGGGTCAGCAAGGGGCACCCACAACCCTCTAGACCATGGCAGCTTGCTCTTCGGTCCCTGGTGGAGAAGGCCCACTCCCCAGAGACTCAGGCCAGGCCGTATCCTGCCTCACCGCCACTTCAGCCACAGGCAATGGCTGCGGCCTCCCAGGCCAGCTCAGATCGTCCCCTGCAGACCAGGTGGTCTCGGAGGACCCCTCTGCGACCGCAGTAAAAGGCTGCAGTCCGTACCCACCACTTACAAAACAGTCCCCCGGCCGTCGCAGTGACAGGATGCCCCGGCCACACTCTGCCCCGAGGTCCTTCATTCCTCCCCCACCCTCTACTTGCTCAGCCCCTCTCCCACCCATGAACACACAGGTGGTGTCACCTTTGCCTGTCGGCAGGGAGCTGGCTCTGTGGACGGGCCCCAAGTGACAAGGTGCTCACAGGACGACCGGCATAAGGACCTACACGTTCCTGCTACCACCACTGGATTTATTGAGGCTGCCACCACATTTGCTGAGAGGGCCACCAAGAGGGGACCCAGCCACTGCCTGGCCTGGTGTCTGAACTGAGGGACTGTGTGCCACCTCCTGGTGACTCCTTGAGGGAGCACCTGTGGAGAGCGACAGGCCGCAAGGACTGGACAGCTCAGAGCAGAAGGAGAAGCATGAGCGAGGAGTGCAGGGTCGGGAGGGGCAGGAACCAAAGTTGCATCTAGACAAAGTGGAACAAGACGAAACCAGAACCCGCATGTGCTGACGCCTCCTCTCAGGGTCCAGGCGCCTCTGACCCGCAGCCCCTCAGCCGGACATCTCCTCTCGCTGCTCCTTGTTCCTGCGCACTTCGGCCGCGTGCAGCTCCTGTGAGGACAGGTGGAGGTGGGCGGCGCCCTGTGCCATGGTGGCTTGGCAGGGGGACGGGGGCTGCCCCTCTTTCACCCCCGGGTTTCAGGGACCCTCCCAGGTGCGGGAGGAGCGACCAACGAGGGCACCTTAGCAACCAGGACTGAAGAACAACAGAGCAGTGGAGGTGCCTGTCATCCTCTGAAAGTGTGGCGGAGTGTGGGGGCTGGCCCTTGGTGCGACAGGGGTTGCGCCCAAACCAGAGAGGGGGAGTTGGAACTCAGGTAGCTTCCTTGGGTTTGGGGGCTCCCCCGGCACCAACTTGGTCCCCACCCTGTGGTATGAGGCAGAGGCCACTCCCGGGGGTTCTGGCCAGGGGAGGGCCTCGCCTCACTCTGGGCTGTCTCCAAGCAGGACAGGGAGCAGCCGGGTGCCAGAGCGCTGGTGGTGCAGCGGGCAGGTGCCAACCAGAGCAAGGGGCTCACCGGGGCTTCCCCGGCCCCCAGCCTAAAACGGCTCCTCCCCTCTTCTGGCTCAAATCCGGCATACACGTCCTTCCGTGCACTTGCAAAAAAATGACCACCCGTCTATTACTGCGGTTATTGGCCCTGTCCCCTCGGGAATGGACCATGGGCCTTGGCTCTGGCACTGTGAGAGGCGCCCAATAAACGCAGGCAGAGCTCGCCTTCTGCGGCCCGGGATCCACCCCGCCCCCTCCGTGGGCCCCGCCCCCTCCGTGGGCCCCGCCCCCTCCGTGGGCCCCGCCCCCTCCGTGGGCCCCGCCCCCTCCGTGGGCCCCGCCCCCTCCGTGGGCCTCGCCCCCTCCGTGGGCCACGCCCCGCCCCGCGTTGCCACGCCCCCTCCTGGTCGCGGACCCCCTCCCCGCGCGAGCCCCGCCCCGGCGCGCACCTTCTCGCGCAGCCGCTCGCGCAGCGCCGCCAGGTGCGCCTCGCGGATCTCCTTGCTGAGCTCCATCTTGTAGTTGAGCTTCTCCTCCGCCAGGCGGCTGAAGTTGTTGTTCTCCTCCAGCGCCTTGTGCAGCACCTCGCGCTCGTGCTCGCGCCGCTCGGCCAGCTGCTTTAGCACCTGCGCCTCCTGCGTCTGCGCGGGCGGGCGGGCGGGGGCGCACGCGTGGGCGGCGGCCCGGCCCCCCCCTCCCCCCCGCCCCCGCCCCGGCCCCCCCCACCCCCCCGCCCCCGCCCCGGCCCAGGGCCCCCACAGCCTGCGGTCGGCGAGGGTGTCCGCCGGGGCCCGGTTTGCCTGGGACTTCCTGGGCTTTAGCACCGCAAGGCCCACGTGCCAGCGGAAGCCTCAGCCCCAGGCAGCCCGGAAGCTGCTGACCCTTTCTGCACGGACTTGTCTCAGAGATGCCCCTCCCTCCAGGCCGAGTGAGCCCACCCAGCAGGGCGGTGGTGGTGCCCTCAGGGAATGGAGGAGCCGAGCGAGTTCAACTTGGGGGCCGTCACTGAGCCTTCACCGTCTCCTTTTCAAAATAGGTGCGTGATCTGCACCAGGTTCTGAATTCCCTAAGGTGCGGGGAGCTGTGGACGGGCCCCCCGAGACGGGGAGAAGGGACTGGTTGGGGCGAGAAGCCCGGGACTGCCGGCTCTGCAAGGTCTGTCCCCCCCTTGGGGGAGGGGCTGCCTGGTGAGGGCCAGAGACCCGAGGATGAGGAAGATCACTCGCAGCTCCTTCAAAGGCTGCTGGGCCTGCCCACGTGCCAGTCACTGCGGGCTAACCCTAGGAGGCCTGGGTCGCCAGGTTCTACTGGGACATGCTACAGGGTATCCGGAGCCATTAGCCCTGCCCAAGGGGCAGCCCTCAGCACTGCACTCCTGACGGTACTCGTGTGTGTTTCAGTCTCCATGGGGCTGATGTGAGGGGAAGGGGCAGGGAGGGAGCCTGGGGACCCCTGAGGTCCGAGCAGGTCTGGGCTTGCAGCCCCTAACACATGGCCCTTTGTTCTCACTTCTCTGCCCTGGAGAAGGGTGCTAGCCCAGCCTCCTGTCCTAGGACTCCTCGTCACGGCCAAGGACATCCCCTCCAACAGTGTCTGCTTCCCGTCCCTCTCTAGCTGGCCAGCATTGGGGATCCCTTATCCTTCCTGTCCCATTCTGATCTCCCAAGAGGCGATCCAGGGAACCACGAGACCCCTCCACCCCAAGCCAGCAGCCAAGCAGCAGCTTGGAGTACCCTGTGCCTTGGGGCCCCTGTCTGTGCCCAGGCAGGCCTGCTGGTCACCTGCATCAGGATCTAGAGGTAGATGTGGGCTCCTCACCTTCCTCCGCTCCTCAGCTGCCTCCAGCCGCTTCTGCAGCCCCTCCAGGGAGGTGTCCTTCCTCTTGGGGGGAGAAGAGAGCACTGGGCTCTCAGGGGACAGGTCAGAAGGGGATTTGAGGATGACCTCGAAGCTCTGGCCAGAGGCCCTCTTGTCCAGCTGCTTCACCTCCATGTCTGCAAGGCCAGATGGAGACTTCAGAATGCTGAGCACACATCCAAATCAAGGGCTGAGGGAGGGAGCACGGCTGTTCATGCGGGACTCCCAGGCCTGAGCCCCCAGGACCACCCCCCCACCAGAGGCTCCCTGTCCAGAAGCCAGCTGGGTGTGAGTGTGTGTGTGTGTGGGGGGATGTTGGAGAGGCCATGGGAGCAGGGAACAAGGTAAGGAGGAGGCAGGCACTGGCCGAGCTGGACCTGTCAGTGGCCCTGGGACACTCACCCCCGTACTGGTAGATGGTGTTGGGGTGTGGCTGTGAGTAGAAACAGGAGCAGATGAGCGACAGCACTGACAGCTCCTTCATCTTCTCCTTGTAGGCTGTGGGCGTGAGGCCAGCATGAGAGGCCGCCATGACCTCCCCTCCCAGTGCTCCCATCTTCTGCTCCCCAGCAGCCTCCCCACGTTGTGTCTCTCTGGAAGTCTATTTATCTCGCTCTCTTTTCTGTTCCCTTGCCTTTCTACATCTGTCCTCTCTTCTTCCCTCCCCCACACCCTTCCCAGAGGTCAATGTTGTCTTTCCCTGGGTACCCCTCCCTGTGTCCTGCATTGTTCTCCCTGATCCAGGCTCTCCGAGCTCCCTCCCTTCTCCTTTTCTCTCTCTCTCGGCATTTCTGTTTGTCTCTGTTCACCTTTCCGTCTTCCTCACTCTCTTTCTGTTACTCTCTCCTGTACCTTTCCACGTCTCCGTGACTCTTTGTCACTGTATTTTCCCAATTCACCCTCCCTGGCCTTCCTTGTACTTCTCTCCCCTTCCTTCCTCCCCTTTCCCTCTCATGGGTATCAACCACCGCATCAGGTGTGGAGCGGCTGCAGGAAGCACTTTCTCGGGCTGCCCACTTGGGTGAAGCCCTCAGACTTCCACCTGTGCCCCCCCCCCCCCCCCCCCGTTCACCCTGACGGCCCACTGCAGCCAGCCTGGCTCTCTCGTCGGGCGGGCGTAGGCGCTTCCTGCTCTGGGGCCAGAGGGCAGGGCGCTGTCCGTTCAGCACCAACAGCTGCCCTCTGGCTTTGCGGCGCCAGTGCCCACAGCCGGCATCCCCAGTGCCCAACCAGAAGAGGAGGCCCTGAGCTCTGTCGGAAGGCAGGGAGGAGCCCACTGTCAGAGTGGACATGACTGGGCTGGTTGTGGTCCATTCACGACAAGCCAGGCCCCAAAGTAGACGTGTCGGTGCAGCGTCTCACTAATGTTTAACTATATTCAAGCCCAAGACTGTCACCCTGCTCAACCGAGATGTTACTGGGCCCAAGGGGTGAGGGTGACTGTGCCAGCTCCTCAAGCACAGTCAGGTGGTCTGTGTTCCTTCCACCACTCCAGCCTGTCACAGGGACCAGGAGGCTTAGAGACCCATGCCCCCACCTCCCTGGCTGGGGAAGCGGGACAGGTGTCCAGACAGGGAATGTGGCCTCTGTGAAGGAAAACCTACCTGCAGTGCTCTTCTCAAGGGCACACACGAATTTGGACAGGTCGTTGAGATGGGCATGACACTTCCTGATCAAATTTTGCATGAGACAATGTCTTTAAGTTGAGTTAATGTAAAATTGGGGGAAGTGCTGGTGTTGAAACAGGACACAGGACAGAAATCATCAGACCCTTGTCTGAGGGATTAGCTCACAGTGAGCAGGGTTTTCCCACAACCAGTACAGAGAATGGTGTTATTCGCTCTAAGTGTCCTGATAATCCAGCCTCTTCTGGAGAGAGCCCAGGAGACCTTAAAGGGAGCACAAAGGAATCCTGGGCTGGCAACAGAGAGAGCCTTTAAGAAGCTTGGAGGGGAAGCAGGGCAAAGACTTCTTGGTAAGAGTGGGCCAGATGGGGACAGGCTTCCAGGGAATTTTGGCCCGGGTTGTCAATTTTATTTTTTCACAGGCAGAATCTATTCGTGCATTACTTGTGCTATGAAAAGTTAATTTTAAAAGGGAGGCAGACGGCACATCACACTACACGTGCTGGGGAGTTAGCGTGAGACCAGGCAAAGCAGGTCTTTGTAAGCAGCACACCAGGAGGCATTTGGCCATTTGGAAAGACTGCAGAGATCACCAGCCCTCTGCTCAGAGGGAAGGTCAGGAGGGAAGCAAGAGGGCATCTGGGTCACGGGGGCATGCTTGGGTCCTGGAAGAGGCCAGGAAGGAAGGGGCTCAGTCTCCCCCTGCCACCACCTGCCTCCCTGGCAAGAGACACTACCCCCCCCACCTTCCAGGTAGTCCTGTGCCACATGTGAAGACCTCCAAAATGGTTTACCATACGGGCCAGGAGCTTGGGGCCTCACAGCTGCTCAAGCTCCTCTCTGCCTGGAGCCTGAAGTTTTCCCAGGAGGAGCTGCATATTTATTACAGAGGAAGAACAGTTTCACGGACAAACGGCAGGGGGGCTCTCTTCCAAGTAAGTGTCACCTCAGCATGAAGGGAGGCTGGCAGCTGTTCAGGCAGCAGGATGCGAGGTTTGGCAGGTGTGAGCACTGCATTGTTAGGATAGAGTGGAGAGGGATGGTGGGGCTGGAGACTGAAGTCAGAGCTCTCTGAGGTCACGGCTCAGCCCAGGGGAGCAGTGTCCAACTGGACAGTGAGGGACTGTGTCCTACAGCTGTAAATAGGGGTGCAGCTCAGTGTCTGGTGATCATGGAGATGCCTGGGGTTGGTTTCTACTAGGCTGATGGCCCATGAGGAGCTTCCTTCCCTAAGTAGCCAAGTGGGAAACGGCACCCCCCAGAAGGGAGCTTTGGGAGTGAGGGTTGCTGTGTGGTTTGGCTGCAAGTTGGAGGGGACTGGACAGCAAATGAGGAAATTGGCAAATTTGCAGAGAGTGAGCCAGGAGAAGCCCACACATGGGGCAAAGAGCAGGACTGGACCCAGAGGCTCACAACACAGGAGTGTCACCTGTGTCCTCAGAGCCAGGGGGCGTCAAGGCCATGTCTCACTGCAGGGGGAAGAGGTCGAGGGCCAGACCCATCTAGACACCTCTCCATACACAGAGCTCAGACTAGGAGACCCCTCTGCAGCTTGGAGGCATGCCCTTTCTCCCTCTAACCAGGACCCTTCTCTTCCCCATCACTGACTTCAGGGAGTCATTAAAAACAAATGTCTGCTGTGAACTGGATTGCCTTCATGTCCCCTCTCCTCTTCATTGTATTCAATGTTAAATATGCAAAATGCACATTGGCCTTTTGGATGCTCAGATCCCAGGTGAGCAAGACTTAGAAGGCACCACATCAGCCTATGGTAGTGTGGTAACAATAATGAGAGCACTCATAAGGTGCACGGATTACACCCATACTCCCAACTGACGCTCCAGGCCAGCCAGCCCAGGCAGATACCCTCGTCAGGCTCATTTCTACTGAGGGAATAAAAAGAGGGGCACCTGGGTGGCTCAGTCAGTTGAGCGTCCGACTTCAGCTCAGGTCATGATCTCACGGTTCGTGGGTTCGAGCCCCGCATCGGGCTCTGTGCTGACAGCTCAGAGCCTGGAGCTGCTTCAGATTCTGTGTCTCCCTCTCTCTGCCCCTCTCCTATTCTTGCTCTGTTTCACTCTGTCTCAATAATAAATAAACATCAAAAATTAAAAGAGAGAGAGAGAGAGACAGACTCAGAGAAAGCAAGGGGTCCAGCCACAGTCACACAGCAAGCCAGGCTGGGAGCCTGGTCATGAGTCCCAGTCTCCGCCTGTACTTTTCCTGCTTGGAGCCTCACGGTGGTGGTGGTGGATGGTGTCTATCCAGAACTGGGAAGGCAGGGGGCCCACAGATGCCTACTCACCCCTAGAAGGGTCCTGGAGGCTGCTGCCAATTGCTTCTTCACAGATGGAGCTCACTGCCATCCAGGCTGCCCCTCTCACTAGTCAGGGTCATATGCACTGTGCTGGGAGCCCAGCATGGCAGGAACTGCCAGTGGAATTCACCTTTCTCTGGGCAGGAAACTGCAAAATGTGGCTGCAACAGTCACACTGCCCAGCACGGACTGGGCACCCACCTCCTGTCAGGCGCCACGCTGAGCACTGTTCCTGAAATATCTGTTCTCTCTCAGAACAAGCCCAGGGGAGGTGCTGTCACTATCATCCCCATCCACATGCAGCCCTGAGGGTTTAGGTGGCATGTGCAAGACCTCCCAGCTCAACAGAGTTGCATAAGAAGATAAATACGAGCAAGAGTCTACAAAAGTGTGCAAAGAGCTGAGCATCTGGGAAGGACATCAAGAGACAGCCGCCTTTCCCCCAAGTGAGTCCCAACCATATAGGCCATCACCAGGCACTCAACTTTTCAGTCCCCAGTGGAAGAGAAAGCTGAGGTCAATTTTGTGGTGACTGTAAGATCATAGCAGACAATGACTCTTCACCATAGTCACCAAGACAAAATGAAGCCCACCAGTGAGCTGGGGCAGACGGGCCACCAAGGCCTGGAAGATCAGTGGCAGCTCCAATCAGAGAGGTTTCTTAACAGAGAAGCCATAGCTGGGATTCATTTAAACTGACTTTGGCCACAATTACTGGAATGCTCACATAGTCACTTCTGGGCCAAGCCACCCTCCTATCAAACTTTTATGAAGGTGAGCACAGGCAGGTACACCTGTGGGCTGTGCTCTGTCCAGGGCTGTGCACCGATGATGAAGCAGGGAAGGCCCAGCCCCATGTGACTTAGGCTGGGGGACATTCTCCAGCTGGCACGCAGCCCATCTATGAGGCAGTGGCTGTGCTGGACAAAACTGATGGTGCTTATGGTTTCCCTTTTCACACCAGTAGTAAGTGGGACACCCAGAAAAGTCCTGGGGCCAAGCAATGGGTCAGCAGGGTCCCTGAGAAGGCATTGCTGGTATCAGGGGGCTGTGAGGTCAGAGTGTCCGTGCCCAGCTCTGAGAGCCATCAGTGCTGCAGTTTCAACTATTTCCTGTCACCTCCTAATCTATCTGCTTATCTATCGGATGCATGGCAGGAATGAGGTCTACTGAGGGCTTTTATTAAAGGGTTTTTTTTTTTTTTTACTAAAGGGGGTGAGTGAGAGAAAAGGCTGAGAGCATCAGTGGTTGCTCTTTGTCTCCCACTCAGGCACAGATCTTGAGCAAGGGCCTGAAGCCCCACCTCAGTGTAGGACTGGGGTAACATGCTGGCCATGAGAAGGACAGACCACCCTCGGTTCCTAGAGGGGGTGGGTCTCATTCTGCCCAAAGCTGATTCCAATATCTCTAAGGGTGTCAACCAGAGAGGGCAGGGGGCAGATGAAGTCCAAATGGACAAGACCATCATGGACCAGGTGCAGAAGGGATGTGGTCGGTCACACACGTGTTCCCCTCCTAGACAGGTGCAGAAGTCACCTGGGGCCTGGAGCCCAGGAGGCCTAAGAGGCTGGGCAGGGCTGGGCACATGCGAGTGGGTGGGGTTCTGCTAAAGCTTGTGTTCGCTCTGGAGAGAAGGTTAGTTGGATGCCCATCCCCAGGATGGAGTGGAGGGAAGGGAGAGTTGGGAGTGTGCTTCCCGACAGAGTGGGGAAGGGGTGGAGGTGGGGGGGCCGGCTGCCCTGCCGTCCCTTCCATGTGGAGTGCAAAGGCAAAGCTGGTTTTGGGGCGCAGAGCCTTCCTGGGGAAAGCAAGCCCCACGTCCTCACGTCCAGGGTCACCTGCGTCTCTCCCGCGTCCAGCAACTGCCCATTTGTCCACCTCTCCGCCAGAGCTCCTCGCCTGGCAAGCCTCGAGGGAGGAGGGGCGGGCGGAGGGTCGCAGCCTTCGGGGGCTGTGGATCCGCAGCTTGGGAGGCGGGGCGGTGGGGGAGGGAGGGGCAGACCCCTCCTTGCTGGGAGGGCTTGGAAACTGCAGCAGCCCCGCCCCCATGCAAACCCTGCTGCGCAAAGGGCGGTGGCTTTTTTTCGACCGGAGCGGGTGGCACCTTGTCGCAGAGAGCGGTCCCCAAGCCCGCAGCAGCAAGGGGAGGGGGCGGCGGCTCCCCTGTCGCTCCGGCTGGAGTTCTCCTCCCCAGTCCCTCCGCAGCGTCCCTCCAGCCCCCCGGGGCGCTCCGTTGGCGCAGGGAGGGCCCAGGCCTGCCAGCCCTGGGCTAGGGCTCCGCAAACGGTCCCACCCTCCTAGTCCCCACCCTCGAGAAGGCGAGATCCGGCCAGGAGCTGAGGGAGCCGGGCGCCTTGGGGGACGCTGTCTGCACCTCTCCCGAGCGCCCACCCAGGGGCACTGGCTGCATCTGGGTCTCCGGAGCCACCCCGCCTCGCATGGCGGACACGAAGGGGCAGTGGACCTCCGAACCTGACGCCCTCACCCTGGGTGCTCCCTTGGGCGCGGCCCCTGCCCAGCGGCCCACACTGGCCGCATGTTAGCCGCAATTGTTGCCCTTGGGGCACCAGGTCGTCCCAACCCTGAACTCCATATTTTGGGGGTTCGGCCCAGCCGCGCCCCGCGCTCTTGGAGAGCGCAGGGTCTGAGATGTGGAAACAGAGTCCACAACCAGCCCCTCCGTGGGGCGAGGCCAGACAATGGCCTCAGCTCCGACCCGCCGCCCCCGCGGGAAGCCCGCGCCCCCGGCCCTACCGGACATGGTGCTGGCCATGGTGCTGGCGGCGGCGGAGGCTGCGGAGGCCGAGGAGGCGCGGGCGCGGCTGGAGCTGCGGTCGGCGAATGCTGCAGTGCTGGGGAGGGGAGAGAGCGAGGCAGGGCGGGAGGCGGGCGCAGGGAGGGAGGGAGGCCGCGAGGGAGGGAGAGAGGGGGAGAGACAGAGGGACGGAGACAGAGCGAGCTGGAGCGAGCTGGAGCGCCTGGCTGGCTGTGGCAGGGGCTTGCATCCGTCGGAGAGAGAGGAGTGAAGGGAGGGGAGGGAGGGAGGGGAGAGACCTGCCTGGGATGCAGGGTGGAGCATTGCGGCTAGAGCCCCACCCTCCCACTGCTTACCTCTTGGACCCACTGCTGCCTAACTTGGCTTTGTGCAGGGTTGGGGGGGGGGATGGTGGAGATGGGCGTGGCAGGAGGGGACAGATCCCTCTTCACGGGAGCCGAGGATGTACCTTCTGTGTGCCCAGGGCTGTGCTGAGGGGGAAGTTTGTCATACACAGTGGGGGTGGGGATTGGTCCAGAAGGCCTCCAAGGAGCATCCCAGAGGATTAGCTGATTCTGAGGCAGAAAAGAGGGTAAATGGGGATGGTGAGGCCTAGAAAAAGAGCTTTGCCGGCCTAGAACAGAAGATGAGTTTCAACCCCAGCTCTGACGCCCATTTGCTGGGTGTCTGGGGGCAAGTTTCTGACTTCCCTGTGCCTCCTTTTCTCAAGTGTAATATAAAACAATAATGGCAATCTCCAGATGATGGAGGAGAAGAAGATACACCCTTGGTGATTATGTGGGGGCCATGCCTCCTCTCCTTCTCCGGGCTTAGTGTTCTGGTTGATACCCAAAGGGAGAGCCTGGCAGAGATGGTGGGTCCTTTCCTGAAGTGGCCATCTCGCCTCACTTTGGGGGCTGGGAAGTCAGACAGATGGTGTGTCATTCCCATTTTAGGGACAGAGCCACCGAGGTCTAGAGAAGTACTTGTTCCACAAGCAGCTAAGTCCTAGAGCCAGGAAGAAAACTGTGGGAGATCTCAGGAGCCTGCACAGAGGTGGGGCAGGCTCAGAAAGGGGACAGGCAGGGACAAACCTAAGGGTCAGAGTCAGCCTGGAGCAGGCCCGGCATGTATACATAGTGAGTGTGTGGCTGGTTAGATCTGTCCTGTGTTCCACATAGCGTCTGACCTGCAAGAGCAGGCTCTTAACTCAAATTTGTTGACTTGATCAAGACCTCTGTGCCTGCTGCGTGGGGCCGGCTATGGCCACCCTTCAGCCTTGGTGTCCATTCCCTCTCATCTTTCATGGTCAGGTTCAGTACGTGGCATTTATAAGTTATAATTTGTAGGAGGCCTGGCAGTCCCCATGTGTGGTGTGTGACCAGGCAGCTCATGTATCAGCTCAGGGTCTCAGGGTCCTCAGCTCCAGTGCTGCCCAGGGGGCTTGAGTCTCTGGGCCCTGCCCTACCTTCCTTGGGCTTCTGGGAGCACCAGCATCTCCGCTTTTAGGAGATGGGGGTGGGGGTGGGCCTGAAGAGCAGGACTCCTGGCTCTGAGATTTGCTAGCTGCTGGCTTTGGGTAATCTACTAACCACCTACCCTGTTCTTTGTGAAGCGTGGATAATCAAAGAACTTATCTCGGAGGCCATTAGGAAGACAAACATGTCAGTGCTGGCGTGGGTGGTAGTGAAATCTGTTCCAGTGAGCACTCAGCAAGTGTGTGGCCAGGCCTCCTCATCTTCTCCAAGCTCTCGGCTGAGAGTCTGAGACAAACACTGCACACCCCTCAGGTGGAAAAGGTGAGCGGGGGGAATGCCAGTGTGCCCTGTGCTTCCCTAACCCCGATCTCTCACACATCTGGGCATTAAACAGAGCCCATGAGAAGCTCTGAGGTCAGTGCTGCCAGCTGGCTGCTGCCTCTTGGGACGGGCTGCAGTCGCCGAAAGCACCTACACCCTCCAGAGCTGTGCAGGCCCCTGGGCCCCAGTGCTGACTGCCAGCACTCCTCTGGGGAGTCAGAGGGCCCCCCCCGACCAGTGGGGGACATTGGCTAGAAAGGCAGCTGAGGCTCTCAAGGCCAGACAGAGCAGCCCTTGGGGAGTAAAGGGGAGAGGGGATCACAGCAAACCAATCCGAAGGCTTGTGCCATTGTCCGGACAACCCAGGGGGCCTGGCCCAGGAGGGGTGGTGGAATGCAGGCTCTGGCGGGAATGGCATCGAGGGAGGAGACGACCGGAACCCTAGATTTCTGCCTCCGGGCGATGGAGGTGCCGGTCCCCAGGCTCAGGGGCTACGGCAGGGGTAGGGTGGGGCCTGGAACCAAGCGCGCGGAACCCTGCGCTGCGGAACCGTTTCCGCGGGGAGCTACGCACAGCGGACCGGAATTGGGGACGGAAGTGCGCGCGTTCAGTGACGCTTGCGCGACGCAGCCCGCCAAGTCCGAACCGGCTGGCGGTGGAGGAGACGCGGTGGCGGTGCCTCGGCGGAACTGGGGTAAATTCCTGCAGACCCCGGGTCGTGCAAGGCTCCCCGCGGACACAGGCTAGGCCGTGAGTCGCACGGACCCTGGAACGGGTCCTTCTACGCGAGCGGCGCCTCCCGAAACTGCAGCTCCCGACAGGCTCCGCGCCGCCTCGGGCCCTCGCGTTCGCCCTTCTGCCGCTCGGCCTTTTGGGGCCGGTAGTTTTGCGGCGCCCCTGGCCTGCGTCCCGCACGGTGCGGAGCCGGTTCCCGGGCGGTGCTTCCCCTGCGACCGGGCCCCTCGGGGAGTGCCGTCATTCCGTGTTTACGCGAATTGTGCGTTAGCTCCAGTGTCCAGGCGAGACTGGGACCGGACGTTGAGGCCAGCCCAAGCCAGGGGCCTGGCCTCCCCAGCTCCGGTGACACTAAGTGGATTACTGCAGGCGGAGCACGTGGGACTGTGCCCGGCTCCGGCTCCCGATATTTCCATGGGTCTGGTCGACTCTCCCTGGGCAGGGCGGAGGCGCGGGCGTCGGGAGAAGGAGGCAGGGCTGACGTGTGGGTTCCTCATCTCCCCAAGCTCCTTCAGATAGGACATCACAGGCTTGCCTTCCCCCTGGCAGGAGGGAGGGCCTGCTCGGTCTGTGAAGTGGCCTGGCACTCCGGAAAGGCCAGCTACAAGCAGGTCTTGTCATCCGTCTCTGTGCCGTAGGGCTTCCTGCTGAGAACAGGGTCGCGTCCTAGAGCTGCCAGCTGGCATCACTTCCCTGCAGTGGCCACGATCCTGAGATGTTCGGAGGGGTTTTGTCCCACAGCCTGCGTATCAGCCAACCTGTGTGCCTTGCTGGGAACAGGCCAGCATGCCCAAGATAGCCCTGAATGGCGTGACGGTGGACTTCCCCTTCCAGCCGTACCCATGCCAGGAGGAGTACATGAGCAGGGTCCTGGAGTGTCTGCAGAAGGTACAGCTGCAGGCAGAGGGCTTTGTGCCCTGGGAGTGGGTCCACCTTCCTTTTCACTCCCGCTGGGCCCTACTGGGGACGAGGTCTCCCTCTGGATGCAGGACTCAGTCATAAATGAGGCTGGCGTTCTAGGAGAGATGACAGAGAAAAAGACAGTTCTCGCTCCAATGGAGGGTCATGAGGTCATAGGCTTGGGAGCACCTTGAGGCCGTTTGAGGAAGTGGCGTTTGAGCCGAGGCCAGTTTGGAAGAACAGCCGGCCGTCTGAGGATCTGGAGGAAGTATTTCCACGTGGAGGGGTAGTCAGTGCCCAGCCCTAATTTTGGAAGGTCTCCAAACCCCAGGGGTGTGCAGGAAGGCGGGACAGAAAGCTTTCTGCTGGCTCTCGTAGCGTGCTCTCTGCCCCCTCCCGAAGCCCCCAGCCCCTGAGGGGCTCTGGCTGCTGTCTGGGGCACAGACTCCTGCGGTGAGGAGCCTGGCGCCCATTCCCGGGAGCGAGGGACACAGCTTGCTGATGTGCCTTTGAGTCTTCCCAGGTTTGCTGCTCAGGCGCCCGTCTGAGGTACCTGTGGGCCTATGTAGGTCGTCAGGTTCCCTTTACACATGTGAATGCCCTCATCCCAAGTCCCAGAACAGTCTTCTGTCTTGAAACTTGGCACCTAATTAGTCGTTTCACTATATTATGCTGACAAATACTTTGGGTAACGCTTTGCAAATTGTTTGCCAACGAGGGCTGAATTGACCTTGTGGCTTTTGGCTTTTGGTTTGAGAGCAGAAGCATTGCCCATTTGTCCACTGTTCTCAGGCCTTCTGCCACCTGCTGGGTGGCTCTGTCTGAACGGAACTGGGCCAGACCAGTCTCAGGTGGGCTGTGTGGTCTGTAGTGCCTCTCCCTGCTTCCCTGTGACCTTGTTCCTGACCGTGTTCAGAAAGTGAATGGCATCCTGGAGAGCCCCACGGGCACGGGGAAGACACTGTGCCTCCTCTGCACCACGTTGGCCTGGCGGGAGCACCTCCGCGACACCATCTCCGCCCGGAAGATTGCCGAGAGGGGACACGGGGAGCTTTTTGTCAATCACACCTTGTCATCCTGGGGAGATGCCACTTCCAATGGAGACAGCACGGGTGAGGCTCCTTTCGGCCCCTCTGGGCTCCACAGAGAAGCGCAGGGGTGGAGTGGGCTGGCGAGGCTCGGGTGTAGAGCTGAACAAGGAATATCGTGGCTGCTCCGGCCGGGAGCCTAAGGTCAGAGCCACGTGGTCAGACTAGAGCACCGTGGACATCCACTTAGCTCACTCCCGTGGCCAGGTACTCAGGGCCAAGTTAGCCGGGTGCCCTTGGGTGAACATCACACGAGAACACTGTCTCATGAAACTTTGACCTGTCCTGCTTCCTTGTGCCTGGGCAGCTTGCTACTCGGACATCCCAAAGATCATTTATGCGTCCAGGACCCACTCACAGCTCACTCAGGTCATCGGCGAGCTTCGGAACACCTCCTACCGGTAGGGTCAGGGGGCATTCACCCCTGCCTCCAAGAAATGGGGGAGGGGTTGGCCTTGGCCAGGTGGTTTATAGTGGTGTTCCGTACCCACCCGGAGGGTACCATCTGCTCCATGTACGGGGCTGCGGCGAGGGCCAGGCTGCTCCTGCTGCCCACTGATTATAAGAAAGCAACCAGCTTAGCAGCAGCCCAGGG